TTACTTCAGTTTCCTCATCGGTAAAATGAGCTGGAGAAGGAAACGGCAAACTACTTCATTATCTTTGCCAAGAAAACCCCAAATGAGGTCATGAAGATGCAGGTATGACTGAAAATAATTGAACAACAAACATGTGCTGGGCACTGTGCCTAAGGATAAGGGATAGAAAGACAAAGGCGAAATAGCCCATCCTCAAGGGCCTTATATTTTAATGGGGGAGACAATATAGCTAGCCAGATACACATAATATGCATACATGTACATATATATACACTCACATGTGCATGTATGTACATGTATACATACATACACACAAAAGTACAAGGTAGTTGTGAGGGTGGAGATCAGGAAAGTTCTTGTGTAAAAGGTGGTATTTCAGCTATCTTGAAAAAAGAAGGGAAATAAGGAGGGAGAGCATTCTAGGTGATAAGGAACAACAAATGAAAGGCTGGAGATTATAAAGCATTGTTTCCAATAGTGGTTCACAATCTTATCACCAGCTTTCAGTACTTTGGGATATAGTTTACCTGCACCTGGTAACTCATCAAAAGCAGATGGGTGTTCCCCACCTCAGGCATCAGTCCAAACCATCTCTTTCCTCCAATATAACTTAGTGACGCTCCCCCCGCCCCAAACAAAGTTTTCCTTCTAGTTTTCAAGTTCCTAATACTGTTTGTATAGGACTACTCTATGCATCCTGTTACCTTTCTTTCTATTTTCCACACTTTTTTAGGCAGCAGTTTCGGCAACAGTAGCTGTTGGGACATCTCCAATTCTCTTCTTCCTTCTTAACCTTCCTATTACTTAGGAACATTCATCCAATCAGCTGCAAAGTCTGGTTGACTTCACGTCTCGTGTATCTATCTCCCCATCCTAATCCAGACCATCACCTCTCCTAGATGAGAGCCTTTTAACTGGTTTTTCTGCTTAATATAAACACCTGTTTTTTAAAGCCCTTCACAATCAAGACCATAGAATCTTTCTCTGGTGACAAAGATCAAAACATACAGCCAGAAGACAACAAAGTCAAAGCTCCCACATCCAAAGCCTCCAAGAAAAATATGAATCAGTCCCAGATCTCCTGAAAGAGATCCCCAAAGGAAAACTCCTAGGAATATTGTAGCCAAATTCCAGAGTTCCCAGGTCAAGGAGAAAATATTGCAATCAGCAAGAAAGAAACAATTCAAGTATTGTGGAAACACAATCAGGGTAACACAAGGTTTAGCAGCTTCTACATTAAGGGACCAGAGGGCTCGGAATATATTCCGAAAATCAAAGGAGCTAAGATTACAACCAAGAATCACCTACCCAGCCAAACTGAGTATAATCCTTCAGGGAAAAAAATGGGTATTCAATGAAATAGAGGACTTTCAAGTATTCTTGATGAAAAGACCACAGCTGAATAGAAAATGTGACTTTCAAATACAAGACTCAAAAGAAACATAAAAAGGTAAACAGGAAAGAGAAATCATAAGGGACTTATTAAAGTTGAACTGTTTACATTTCTATGTGGAAAGATATTTGTAACTCATGAGATCTTTCTCATTAGGGTAGTTAAAAAGAGTACATATAGACAGAGAGCACAGGGTGAGTTGAATATGAAGGGATATCTAGAAAGCAAAGTAAGGGGTGAGAGAGGATTGTACTGGGAGGAAAAAGGAGGTAGAATGGGGTAAATTATCTTACATAAAAGAAACAAGAAAATGTTTTTACAGTGGAAGGCAGAGTGAATAACATACACACTCAATTGGGTATGGAAATCTTAGCCTACAGGAAAATGGGATAAAAAGATTGGGGAGATGACATAAGGGAGAGAATATTGGGGGAGGGGTTAACCAGAAGCAAACACTATTGAGGAGGGACAGGAACAAAGGAGAGAATAGAATAAACAGGGGAGTAGGGGGCCAGGATAGGATGAAGGGAAATAGTTTTTCACATTACTGTGAAGTGTTTTGCATGACTCCACATGTATATAACCTGCATTGAGTTGCTTGCCTTCTCAAGAGGGTGGGTGGGGAGAGAGAAAATGTAAAAAATGACAAACTCATTTTAAAAGTGTCAAAATTGGAAGGAGAGGCTAAGATGACTATCTGATATACCAACATCAGGCTGAAAGAATTCTGAAATATTATCAAAATGCATCCAAGAATCCTTCAAGAAAATAATGAAAATGATTCGCCACTTCAACCACTTCAACATATAAGGTATTGTGGGTAGGTAGATCTTTGCTGTTTCTGATATTACTATCGTTTCCAAGATACTTCTACCTCCTACCTTCATTTTCCCAGATGTTATGGTCCCTCTACATGGTTGTTTTTCTGTCTCACATACACTTAAAACCACATATTGTCTCTTCCCCAATAGAATACAAGTTCTCTGTGGGCAGGGACTATTTTGCATCCATCCCCAACATCTACTGTAGCATGATTACCCATGGTAGCCACTGAAAAATTGCTCAGTTGAATTTTTGGAGTTATTTCCTTAGGACATGAGGAATGCACACTATAGATATAGTATCTAAATTTTAGCAGTTACCATTATGGACAGGATGGAGATGTGGCAAGATGAAGTTAGCTGGATTCAGAATTGGTCGACCCAGGTTAACCAGTGATAGACTTGCGGGTAGGTAGTGGAACACTCGATCTTTACCTGGCTCTAAGCCAATCTTTTAAGATCATTCATCCACTACCTCTCTGAAAAATGTTCTTTATTCATCCTCATGTGTCACAACCTGATAAGCAGTGAATGTTGCTCTATATTTGGTGTTTTCTGAGGAAATAAAGTAGGTTACAACCGCAAGCTAAAACTAGCACCTTCTGAAATCTTGAGGTTAAAATCTTGCCTTTATTTCCTCTTCTATAATATGGAGGAGTTGGGTCAGATGACCAAAGGGTACATTTCAATAAATATCTATTACAAAACAAAGCATGAAGACAAAAGCTAACCTGTCCAGTGGGATGGATAGCTTAAAGATGAATTGAATGGTAACAGGGACTTCGAAGCACTCTTTATCAAGCATAAGAAAAATTGACAATTCAGTCTGTTCCACTTGCACTAAAGTGAAGGGCTAAAAACAGGGTGGTTTTGGGGGCAGATTTATGATAGAACAAATGACTTTCAACTTTATCAGCCCAACTCTAGCCTTCTCATGTACTTAGTTAATACTTTTTTTGTGCCATCCCTTGCCCCCAACCTGCATTGATGGAAGCTTCTCCTTTTGGTGTTTTAGTGGCAAGAGCCCACACAATTGACTGTCAGCTCCAACTAGTACAATCCACCAACTCCAGGTAGGGAAACATCTCTTCCTTCAGTTGCCAGGAGTCAGAAGGGAACCTTAAGTGCTCTGTCCTACTTACTGAGTAAGCCTACGATGACCAAGCAGACTTAACAAAAGGGGTTAACTGGAGCCTACAGAAGTGAAGACACACCAATCCATGCCAATAGTTTCTAATCCCCCAATTACCCCTACACTCTTTCCTGCTGCTTTTAAAGGGTCAGGCACATTGACAATCCTACAGTATGCCAGCTGAGAATGTTACACACCAGTAGTTCCAACTCCCCGGCAACCAAAAGAAATCCTACATCCTTGATAATGGTGGCAAAAGGCAAAGGGTACAAGCAAGTGCTGCCTCCCTGTGGTCATTTCTGAAATTGCCATGTCAGCTAGGTATTATTACTAACACCTTAAAATAACTGTAGTGGACAGACCCAAATTATTATTTTTTTCTTCAGAAATACCCTCTCATGAATTAAGATGTCACAGACACATCTCAGTTTCACATATAAAATGAAAGGGTTCAAGCAGATAAGCACCTTCTAGACCCAGCCATCATCCAGCCACCATATCTTGATGCCCAAGTCCCACTAGTAAGGCACTACACAACAATATTCACTCTACACACAAAGGAATACAAAATGTTTATGTTGTTGACCATGTACAATTACCTTAGAATAAACACATACCATCTGTGCAAAATTCTTGAGCCAAAGGTTATTCCTTTAGAACCTCTCAATTTCTTGATTTCCGAGTCATAGTTATTACTGTCATTAACTGAACTGTCCTGAGTTTGTATTGAGGGGATCCTCATCCCCAAAATACCCCACATTTCAAGGTTTTTAAGGCAAACAAGTACACTGTAAAGATGACAAAGTTTGCTCACTGCTGGGGCAAATTTGGCTTGCCCAACCAGTCTTCTGTCAATTTACAGTCCCACTGCTAAGCTTGAATAACTTCCCTGCTCTTCTAACACCACCCTCCCTCCTTCAAATGAACTGCAAAGTAGCTCAAAGAGGGCCAACGAAATTAAGTTAACAGTTATTTCCCAGAATGCGTGGTAGCTTCTGACACAAAAATTTTCCAGACTGAAAAATGAAGAGCCTCTGTGTTGTCAAATGTTAATTTATTACAAGTCTCCTTCGTAGCTTTTAATTCTGTGGAAAGAAGAGAAATATCAGTTTTATACTAAATTTGTCCCCAACAATGTTAAAATATCATTAAGGAGCTAAGTTAATACTTACTGCTGGGCATTCCACAGCACCACTATTGATGTCATCAATGACATCATGAGGATGCCTGCCATCAATGTTGCAGCCCACAGACTGGGCTGTTCCAAGTATCTCTTTAATGGTTCCTGTACAAAAGGGGAAAATAAGACATTAAGCTCCCAGTGCCTGAAATTCCCTCAATCTTGTTCTGCAGGGAAAACAGGCTTGAGCCAAAGCCCCCTTGACTTCTTGCTTTAAAATATTAACCACCAACAGTATATCATGTATTACAAATAAACATTTAAAAACAGTCTTTGTCCTCTTTAGTCTTCAAATCTACTTAATTTAAGACCTTGTCAGCCAGAACCTCATCCTTTAAACACACTCAGATCACAGCTTCTGTTTCTAGACATTTACAAACCACCCTTTAATAGCTTTCTAATAAATCCACACCCAATACTTGACAAAGCTGACCCGTGTTCTGAAGCCCAGAGTAGACATGATTTCTTGTTGCTCCATGTTCCCAAGCTTTCGGCACAGAGTCACCCACATGCAGAATAACCCTGTTTCCTAAGCTGGGTTTTTCCTCTCAGCTCACCACTGGATTGCACCAGCCAACATAAGACTGGAATCAGGTGCAGTGGCGGGTGGCTGAAGGCAAACATTCACACAAGTCACAGAGGCCAGCCTTTGCTTCCCTGCACGACTTTATTAGATACCTGCTAAAAAACCCAAAGCGCTGCTTTAATTTAAAAAATTTGTCATGTATATCTTAATTCTTCACAGTACTCCAAACACTCAAGGCATGTTTCCATATAACCACATAGCTTTTTCTTACCAGAAAGGTCTCTTGCCAAGGATCGGTGCCTCATCTGTCGAGCAATGCTGACAATCTCATCGAAAGTGATGTTTCCATTGTGTTTAACTATAGAAAACACACAAGACTCAGTTAATTCTCATCATACCCAGCAAAGGTGACATGAATCCTTAGACCCTCTAACCAGTTGTTCCCAAGCTTTCGGCACAGAGTCACCCACAAGCAGAATAACCCTGTTTCCTAAGCTGGGTTTTTCTCTCAGCTCACCACTGGATTGCACCAGCCAATACAACAATGGAACCAGGTGCAGTGGCAGGTGGCTAAAGACAAAAAAACCAAATCCCACACATACATAGGGAAAATCTTCAATCTTCTCAAAAAAAGCAACTCACTATTTTTCTGCTTCTTTCTGTCCCGAGGAGGTTCCTTTAGGGCTTTGATGATCAAGGCTGAGGCAGAAGGCACAACCTCAATCTAAAGAAAGACAAACTCAAGTTATTTTCCCAAATGCACACTTTCCCATACTTTGTGTCCCAGCACCAGTCACTAGCCTGTCATCACTCAGTACAGTGCTCCTGGGCAAGCCTGAATTTAAGTCTCCACAGCAGAGGCAATCAGGTGCCTCCTGCATAACAAAGACATCACTTCCGAAGAACCAAGGAAGGAATCCTAACTCGTATCTCTATCAAGTTTTAAGGTTACAAAGAATCTATTAAATCAAGTTCAGAGGTTAAACAACTTGCCTCAGCTAGCTGGACTTAAACTCAGATTTCCCACTTCTCTTCAATATCCTATGCTGCCCCACCTCATTCACACATACCATCAGAAATGAAAGGAAGCCAAGAGTACCAGGCCAAGGCACACATGAACAAAGCTCTCTGCTACATGTGGTAAACAATCACCCAGATTTTGCTAAAACAGCCTCAGTGAGGGGGAACTTATGACCTCCTGACAACTTCATGAGCTTACTGCTATCTTTCCTAAAATGTTGCAGGCACAGCTGACCACAATATACCAGAGTGAGTCCAGTCAAAGCAAAGCATGATAATTAGAACTATCATCTCCATAGTGCTAAATTCAGCCCAAGATGGCATTTACTTTTTTTTTTTTTTGGCTGCCATGTTACAGTTGACTTAAAATCCAAATTATTCTTCAGACTACATCTAGGCATACCACCCCCCATCTTGAACTGGTGAAGTTTCATTTAACAGAAAAAAGATCTAAAGCCTAAGACTTGAATTTTTTTTTAAGAATCCAAGTGTTAGACTTTACATTGATCTCCATTTCCATTTAATTTCATCTTACTCAATTCTTCAAACATCTAGCCAGTCAAATTCTTTCTGGACCCTGGTCCTGTCATTTATGCTCATATATTCTTCTCTTATTTTTATTACTTGAAAAGCAAGCCAATTTTGCCTTTAAGCACGGTAATCCAGATGTGGTTATAATGGGACCTGTAGGACTTTCATCTCTCCAAAGCAAGTCCAAGACAGTATTATTTTTTTGGTTGCCACCATATTCAAGTTTTAGTTCATGGGTAGTTTAAACTACACATTATCCTTCAGGACTGGGACTTCTCCATGGCCACCACAACTTGTTACAGTGGGTCAACAGTTCATTTGTGAAACTTTATATCCTTTATAGTGCGCTCAGTGGCCCACATGTCAATATTAACAAGAGAAAATTACTAGCAAAATAATTACCTGGGCCTGTCTGTTCTGAATGGTTAGTTTCACTGTGATTCTTAGCCCTTTCCAGTCACCAGTTGCCTTGGCTATGTCATCACCAACCTTTTTGGGAGACTAAAGTAAAAAAAGAAAAAAGTGATTATATTGTCTCACAACACTCGCTACATAAAGTATCCCCAATTTTTCCATGTAAATAGCCATTAAATGAACACAAGCAATTCCTGAAAATTCTTTAAAACTAAATAATTTACTTCCTCACTAATTTTCACAAGTTTTCCTAATAATTTCTCAATACCTCTAAAATTTAATTAAAGAAGATTCCCAGTAATTAATTTACTGTGCTTCAGTCTCTTACAAATGCATGTGCTTTTGAAACACTAAATTTAGATGCAATCTAAGAAAACACTTTTATATCCAATAAAAAATATCCTTACAACTTACCAAACCCAAGGGACCAATTTTGGGTGCCAGAGCTGATGTGGCACCAACTTCACCACCAGTGCACCTTAAAAACACTAGGAAAAAACAAAGATCAACACTTTTTTAAAAAAGGTGAGCTTGTATATATGTGACTTACGAGATTCGTGGAAAATCTCATTTTCTGCAGTGCCTTTGTAGGTTAAGATACAAAAGATTAAGAGTCCAAGGTACGTTGGACATAGGACATCTGATTGAGCTTTGTTCCTGGCACTAGCAACATCACAACTGAGAAAGTTCTTTACTCTAGGCCTTTTCCTCTGCAAAAATCAAAGGTCTGGACTGGCTAGCCTTTAAAAATCCACTCTTGTGGATTTCACATTCTAGATTATCTTCCACCGGGTAATTTATAGCCTGGACAACAGTGAATGATAGCTGCAAATCTTAGGCATACTAACAACACACAAACAATGCTACAACCAGGACTTGCACCCTATGAAGCTCAGAAAGCATTTATTAATTGCAGAGCAGACATGGAGTATTTTAATTTAAGATAGAATCCCAGCTGTAACAGAACTCATAATCTGATAAACATACTGTTAGAACTCACAACACCTGAGGATCTACAAAGTACTTTATTCACAATATAAAGGTCTTTAAAGACAAGGATTACTCCGTTTGTCTTTCTATCTTCAGTGCTTACCAAATGTTTGCTTAATTACATCTTTTTAAAAAAGGATGAGAATCTCCGATGTCTGTTTCAGCTCGAAATCCAGCATCCAAGCTGGGATTCAAGCGCCCTTACGTTAAAATAACTGGACTAATATTAGTATCAAAATGGATGTAAGGAGGCCCCACACCAGCATTCCCGTCCACTCCAGGTGTAGTTTTAGAAACCCAGACCAATTCTCCTCCACCCACCTCTTTTCAAAAGCAACACGCCTCTAGAGAAGGCAAGCCAGGACCTTGACCCTCACTACTCGAGCTCGGAGAAGCTCATGTTAAGACAGGACGGAAGTTGGGGAAAAGGGAAGGGGATCCCACAGACCTGGAGCGTCACATGGGGAAGGAAGGCTGAGGGGCTCGGAACCCGCTGGGCCCAGGGGTAGAAGCTGACCGGAACACAAGGAGAGCCGGGCGCACGCGCGGCGGGAGGCTGGGGGTAGACTTGGCGAGAGAAGTAGGCCCCGGTTCTCCCATTCCCTCCCAGGCCCTGAGACGCACCGACTTTAATTTCATTAGGGTCAAACTTGGGAGGCATGGCGGCGACGAAGGTGGAAGCTTGGCCTGGATGCTGCGGGGTGGCTGCCGGTGTCGGATGAACCCGGATTCGGGACGACCGAAAGAAGTTGCACCTTCACCACCACGAGCTGGAAACCAAAAGACCGGACGAGGCCCAAGTCACGCCGGATATAGGAAAATCCAAGTCTCGCGAGAACTTCCGTAGCATTACCGCTGACGCTCTGGAAGCCATGTTGCTTGTGGGCGGGAGCTGGTGGTTGGGAAGCCGGCGATCGCGGTGAGCTGTAGCTGCTGCATCTGGCGGGGTAGGAGGGGAGGCGGGGACCGACCCTTCCCCACCCCCCAGTCCCCGGAGTCACAGCTCCCCGAGATCTTGTCCCCGCTCTTATCTGGGAGTCTCGTTTTCCTGTACGGCGTGGGTTCTAAGATCTGAGTTTCGGCTACACCCCTTTCCCCTTTTTGGTTGGCTGGGCGGGGGGCTTTGCTGGGGCGGTCCTTGCCCTCTTCCGAGCTCTGGTGTCTCCAGCTTCTGCCCCCGCCGAACCCCCAGCCCCTGCAGCAATGGGTTCCGCACCCACTCCCTGCACTAAGGGAATCTTCCCCTCTTCAGTTCTGGGGTCCTCCCTTCTCCCCTAGCCAACCCAGATGCCCCGCAGTCTCGCTCCATCCCCGCACCCGAGAGTGCTTTCATGGGCCGGGCAAGCAAGGCTGTGGCTGTTTGGGGAACCCAGATCGTGGATCTTTCTCCTCGTCCCTACCCAGCCTGTGCACTAGTCTCTAACCATCCCTAGGTGTGGCTGTCAGCTGCTGTAAACCCCTAGTTTGGGGGGTTTAGGGGTATTCAGTAGCATTAATCTTTATTTCCTACCCTTATAAATAGACACGGGTGATGCAGGCCCGGGAGTCAGGAAACCAGAGTTTTCATTCCACCTCTACTACTAACTCATCCTTTGACTTTGGGCAAATCATTTCCTTCATCTGCAAGATAAGATGGTTTCTGTTCCTTCAGTAGAACTCTGACCTTCTGAATCTGTAATTGTGACATGTCAGCATTCATCCTTAAGACAGCATTCATCCAGGCTAGCCTGTTGCTGCAAGGGAACATGACTTTCTGGGTGCCTCTTTGGGCTAAATGAACGGGAACAAGAGAGTCTCTCCCTGGAGGGGTCTGCCTGTCCTCCATGCCTGGAATGCCCTCCCTCCTCGTGTCTGGCTTCTGGCCTCCTTCAAGTCTTAGCTAAAGTCTCACCTTCAACAGGAAGCCTTTCCCAAACCTTCCCTCTTATATTTATTCTTATCTCTAACGTGTATTCCTGTATATAATTTGTTTGTATAGATTTGTTTGTTGTTTCCCCCATTAGATTGTCAACCCTGGAGGGCAGGACTGTCTTTTGCCCTTTTTTTTGTATCCCTAGTACTTAGTGCAGTGCCTGGCACATAGAAGGTGTTGAGTGATTGATTAAATGGGGAGTAGGGGAGGTTTAAATTATGAGTAAGATCAGAGTTTTCAGTCAGTTTCTTAACACAGATTGTAGGGGTGGTGGTAGCAGCAACGCCTAGCTGGCAAAGTGGATAGAACAGGGCGTGCTTCAGAAAGACTGGCCTCACTGGCTGCGTAGCCCTGGGCAAGTCACTTAACCCTATTTATCTTAGTTTCTTCGTCTGTAAAATGAGCTGGAGAAGGAAATGGCAGACCATTCTTTGCCAGGAAAAAAATCTTTGCTAAGAAAACCCCAAATGAACAACAACAACATCAGAACTGAAAGGGACCTCAGAGATCATCTAATTCAACCTTATTAGAGAACTTGGGTATTTTTACTCTTCATCTTGGTAAGGCAAAGAGTACTTTACACACAGTAGATAGTAATATTTGTTGAACTCATGAATAAATGAACCAGCCTAATACATCATTGTTATGTTGTCTTCAGCTTCAAGGATCCATAATCTTTGCAGTGAAGATGGTCCCTCTACTGACATAGATTGCAGTCCTCGTATCCTTAGTAGACAGTTTTCCTGAAGTTTTTTTTTGGTCAAAAAATTAATTACCCTGGCCATCCTGGTACTGAGCCTGTCCATACTTAGCTAAACTGGTTTCTTATGTTTCTTGGTGGTTCCAGGGGCGATCACTGTCATCATAAACACATTATACAAGATACCCTATTGGCCACTGGTCACAGGACAGTGAACCGTTTGCATGTGAGCATGAGGGTCCATACACATAGCAGTTACTTAATATTTGTTAATTTGATTTCAGAATCCTACTGTGATGATTTTCAGGATCCTTGAAGTTATTATTTGGCAGTTCTATCCAGTGAGACAACAGAGATAGAAAAATGTCTCTGAGGCACCAGAAATAGCTAAATATGTTCTTCTGTATTACTGATTTCTCTAATCATTTCATAGAGATCCAGTGACTATTTCTGGTGGAAAGAGAAGGATGCCTCTTTTCTTCCGAAAAAGGAAACCCAATGATGAAGCTCGGAAACGCTTTGAATACCAGATGTGTCTGGTGAGTATGAGTTCTGGTCTCATTATTTTCTCTTGTTCAGTCTTATATTTTATTACTCTCTGCTGTGACTTGCATTCTGCAGTGAGCTGTAGAGAATGAGCATCTGGGGTTATTTACTTTGAAGAATGGAAGACTTGGGGAGGGGTGGAGTGGTAAATATGCTAACTATCTTCAAGTAGGTGAAAGAGGAATTAGACTTGTTCAGCTTAGCCTGGAAGAAAAAAGGAAGTGGATATATCCCTGCATTAATAGGTAGTTAGGTGGCACAGTGGATGGAGAGTTGAGCCTGGAGTTGGAAAGACTGGAGTTCAAGTTTGTCCCAGACACTAGCTGTTCAACTCTGGGCAAATCATTTAACCTCTGTTTGCCTCAGTTTCCTCATCTGTAAAATCGAAATAATAACAGTGCCCACTTCATAGAATTGTTGTGAGGGTCAGATGGGATATTTATGCACAATGCCTGGCATGTAGGAGGCACTCTATGAATGCTTATTCTCTTCCCTTTTCTCCTTCTCCATCTCCCCTCCCTTATTAATAGAAGTACAATGTGCAGAATGAGAAAGATGATTGTTCCACTGAATTCACTACTGGTGAGACCACATCTTGATTATTGAGTCCAATTCCGGGTGTCACACTTTAGAAAGAATATTGGTAAGCTTGAGTGGGTGTAGAGGATAGGGAGAGATCCAGGAAGCATACCACATGAGCATCAGTGAAGGAAGCCATCATGTTTAGCTTAGAGAAGGGAAGACTTGTTGGGGTGGGGGATATATAATGGCTGTATGTGGCATATTGAAAAGCCCAATTGATTTGAAGTCTAAGGACTGGGTTGTAATCCTGTATTTGCTACTTGTTGCCAAGGTCACTTGCTATGACCTCGGACAAGTTTCTTGACTCTCCGATTTTGTGTTTCCTCATCTAAAATAAAGGGGTTGGAAAAAATAACCTTTAAGGTCTCTGCTAGCTTGAAATCTTTGATGTTATGTAAAAGCAGACTTATTTAATAACCTATTTAACAAAACCTCAGAAAGATAGAACTAGGAATTATGTATTGGTAGAAGCTGCAGAAAAATAGATTTCATCTTGATATAATGAAAAGCTTCTTTATAATTTGAGTTATCTAAGAATGAAATGGAGACTTCTGGCCAAAATGGCTGCCCGAACTGGAGACTGACTACCTTGTTCCCACATACTTACAACTGAAGTTTGTACCAGACCGTGTGATCATGAAAAAGTCCAGTGAGAAATTACTGTTAAGTGACTTCTTCTATTCTAGAACTATAGAAAAAGTCAGAAGCCAAGTCAGAAGCCCATAGGCTTTGGGAAAGAGAACCCTTCTAAGCAAAATGAGCACAACTATGAATAGATGTTGTGTACCTCTAAACTGCAAGGTTCTGTGTCTGGAGATAGCAAGAGCAGTGGTCTCCCCTAATAAAGTTCCAGATGGGCTAGAAAGTCACAGGAGGGGGATTTTGAAAGTGCCGGAGACCAGTATAGTGCTGACTGACACGGTGCCACACTTCTCAGACCAAGACATCTTAGGCCCAAGGCAGCTGAGGTACATAACACTCTGATCTCGAGATGCCAGAGTAAGGGCCCTAAAGACTCAGGGCTCCAAACCTCAAAGATCCCGGAGGACTAAACCCCAGGAGGTATAGAGGTCAATGCAAGAACTCAGGGGATCCAGGGCAAAACCAAGCAGGATTGACCACCCACCCAAAAGTGCAATAGGGAATGGAACCTGACCCTGGCACAAAATCCCAATTCAGGAACTAAAGTTGGGGAGATGAGTAAATCAAAGAAGGTAACTAAAATTATTGCAAATCTAAATACATAACAATTGCAAGCAGGGACTCAAAGGACAAAAGCATTTTCTAAAAGGACTGAATGAATACCTAGAGGAAATGAAGCAAGAATTTTAAAAATGAAATAAAAGCTTTTGAAGAAAGAATTGGAAGGAAAAGAAGGAGCTTAGAAGAAAAAGTGGGAAACCTTACCCAAGAAGTAAACTTTAAAAACTAGAGTAGCTCAAATACAAATCAGTGACTCTATAAGGCAGCAAAATATTGGAACAAAATCAAAAGATTGAAAAAATAGAAGACTACTTCTATTGTAAGCAGTGTAAGATTGTAAGTGTAAGATTGCTTATGCAAAAAATGACCTACTTAAAAAACAAGTCAAGGAAAGAGAATTTAACAATCATTAAATTCCTTGAAAACCATGATAAAAAAAAATAGATCTATTAGAACCAGAGGACAAAGTAGAGATCTACTTTTCACTTCCTGAAAGGAATCCCAACAGAGAAAGTCCCAGTAATGTTATATCCAAAATCCAGAGCTTCCAACGTCAAAGAAAAAATAGTACAAACATTCTGAAAGAAGCAGTTAAAAATACCAAGGAACTATAAAGACCTGGCAGCTTCTATTCAAAATAAGAGATCTTGAAATACACTATTTCAAAAGGCGAATGATATCAGTTTACAACCAAGAATAACTTACCCTAGGTGAAACTTCGTATAATCCTATGGGGAAAAATTGAGCCTTTATTGGGATAGAAGACTTTCAAGCATTTCTGATGAAAAGACTAGAGCTGAGTAGGAACTTTGAAATACAAATATGTGAGTCCAGAGAAACTTTAAACTAAATTTATTTGATCAATGAGAAAGAGCTGTGTGATAATGAAATGCTAACATTCTCATAGGAGAAGAAGGAACAAGTGCCCCTTGAAAAAGCCTTAATATCTTCAGAGGGTATCAAGGGAATTAAATAAGAAAGTTGAAAGTCTTGGGAATGGGTTGGTTTTGTTCTGAGTGTCTGAAGAGGAGAAAAAGAAGCTAGGGTAATGTTTTCTAAAGAGCTTTCCTCACAACAGCCCAGTGAGTTGGTATGATATAAGAAGGCAGTGTGGTATAGTGAGAAGAATGCTAGATTTGGAGTTGGGAGGCCTGGCTTTGAATGCCTGCCATGCCACATGCTAGTTGTGTGACTCTGAGCAAGACAGTTTTACCTCTCAGAGTCTCAGTTTCCTCATTTATAAAATGGGGATAAATAACACTTGCAAAACTTATCACACAGTTTACTGTGAGAAAAGTACTTTGTAACACACCATATAAATGTGAGTTATCCCTAGCATTACTCATGGTGGACACCTGACGAATATTAGTTGACTTGAATTACATTTTTCTCTTCTGTTAAAATGTGGAGCTTGAGCTCAGGTGATCTCTGAGGTCTCTTTTATGTTTTAATCTTTGACCCTGCTATGTATGGTGTTGAGTACTAGAGATGCACAGATAGATTTTGTTTAACTAGGGATCGACTTCATCACAGGTATTTTTTAATAATATTTATACATAACTCCTTATTTCCCATCACTTCATAGTATATAGTTCATGAGTTTTTTTCACCTCTATTGCTGTTCTGCTTGCCTCTTTGAATGCTATCTTGTTATAACTTCTGGTCTGACTAACCGTGTGACCCTGGCAGCTGACTTCTTCTATCTCTTGCCTTGCCTTCTTCTCATTACGGAGATGATTTCTAAAGTGCTTTCCAGATCCAAATTCTTTGATTCTGTGACCAGATTTCCAACTTTCTAAGGTTGCTTTAAATATTGTCGAAATGAGCTAACATTGAAGGATTGTTTGGTAATTTTTTCCCCTTAGGCAAAAGAAGCTGGGGCAGATGACATTCTTGACATCTCTAGATGTGAGCTCTCAGAGGTAATGTGATTGTGGTGTTTGAGTTATGTGTTTTATTTGACTTATTTTCTTGGACCTGATGTCTACAGTAAGGACAGTGGGAACTTAATCTTTTTTTTTTCCAACTTGCCAAAAAGAGATAGGAATCTTCAGACTTTCTGTAATTTTCTCTTCAACTAAAAATTAGAGGTGGTACTTTGACAATGACATGCTTTAAAATAACTACAAAATTAGAAGAGTTTATAGTTAAGCCCTTGGAGTGTTGGAAGGGCATGGATTGGGGTGGAGATCATGGGTTTTCTGGGAGGCCTTTGCAAGTCCTTTCCAAAGTGGGAAGAAACCCTTGTTCTGTCCTTAGACTACCAGGGGGCCTTCTGACTTATCCTAGTTTTACTCCAGGGTGAGAGATAGTATCCAGAGGCAGTTTGGAGCTTGGGAAGTAAAAAAAGGGACATTCAAGGCTTTTCTTAAGGTGAAACTAAAGAAGTCTAGATAGCTCTTTTCCTGCAAATAAGCTTCACGGAATGTATGCTGGGGTTTCCTTGGTTGGTCATATGAGTATTAATTTATCGATAAAGACACTGTGCCATCATGCTAAGCTTTGTCATATTGATCAATAGTTTTGCTTCATGTTAAGCATAAGCTATTAACTACACTCAGACAAGCTATTTTTCTCCCTATTTTATAAAGTTATTTATTTGGTATCTTATTTTCCTCCAATTACATGAAAAACAATTTTTAACATTCGTTTTTAAAATTTTGAGTTCCAGATTCTCTCCCTTCTTCTCTCCTCACCCCACACAGATAAGCCATTTTTTTTAATTGTTTGATCCTTGTTGACTGATGACTAACAGTGGCTAGGTCAGAAATCAACTCTTCAAATACTACTCCACAAACTCTCCCAAGATGTGCATCGCTGGGGCCTTCAGCTGCTTCCTTCCCATGTGAACTAACTCAGCTTCATCTCCCACACCCAGACTGTACTTACTATCCTATCTACAGGGTAAATTAGAAAATGGAAGGATCTTTGATGGGGGCTAACTCTTTACTTTGATTTTTCATTAGATTCCATTTGGGGTTTTTTCAACATGCAAAGTACTTCAGAAGAAGGTGAGAAAGTCTTTAATTTTGAATGAGAGATTTTGGTGGTTTTTAAATATAATTTTTGACCTCATTGGGTTTATTTCCTTGGTTGTTATTATTATGATTATGATTACCAATAATCATCATAATAGTAAATCACATTTCTATTGCATTTTAAAGTTTATACTGAGCTTCCCTTGTATATAACAATCCTGTGAAGTGGGTAGTGAAAATATTACTATTTTATTCTACAGAAGAAGAAAGAAACTGAAACCCAGAGTCTGACTTGCCTAGAGAGTGACAAGTATATATTAGAGTCATGATTTGAATCCAGGTTTTTTTACTGCAATTCAGTGCTTGTACTGCTCTAATATAGCTGCCTCTTCTAGTTCGACTCTTGCCCCAGACACCTGCCCCTGAGTCATTCCTCTTTAAATTTTCTCCTTTGTCCCATGCAGCCTCTCCTAAGGGAGACCAAGCAAAGCCATTGATATCTCAGAAAAACCCACCTAACTTTGGTTCAAATTCAGTGTTTCTTTAACTGAAATGAAGCAGCGAGCTGTCTACCATGGCAGGTATTTAAGCAGAGATTGAGTGAGCTGCCAGAGATTCAGAACTGCCAGAGACAGAAATTCTGTATTAGTTTGGTGGCTGGAATAAATGGCATTTAATGGTGCTAAACACAGTCCTTTGTGGGAACATCTGATGGCAGTGGTAAAGTTGCTGATCACTGTCATCCTTAAAGGAGCTTGGGTCAAGGCTACAGGTGACTTTAGAGATCACCCATTCTAACCCCTTCATGTGGCAGATAAGAAAATGCAGGCCCAGACCATGGGTGACTTCCCCATGGTCACACAAACATCAGGGGCAGGATTTGAACCCAGGTCCTCTGACTTTGAGTCTGGGGCACTTTCTACTATACTGCATGTGTGCTTTTGTGTAGTAGAGTGGAAAAAGCATTGTATGTCAGGATACCAGTTGTGGTTTTGCCACTAACTTGCTTCGTGACTTGGGACAAATCCCTTTGTCCCTTTGGGCCTCCATTTCCTCTTCTGTCAAATGTGGGGGCTGGGCTAGGTCAGGATTTCTTAACCTCTTTGTGTGTCCTGTTCCCCTTTGGCAGTCTGGTGAAGCCTGTGGACCCCTTCTCAAAAAAGCGCTTTTAAATAATGGAAGGAAATGCTCAATTTCAGTTAGAGGTTAGTGAAAATAAGGTTATAGTTTTTTTTTCCCCTACCAAGTTCATGGCCCACCCCAGGTTAAGAACCCCTGGATTAGATAGTTCCCAAAGCCCCTTCAGTGCTAAATTCTGTGATGCTAAGGTTGAATATCTGTTTCAAATGTGCACATACTTTTCTTTTCTGTCTTAGGCTGCACTGAAGCCCTGCAGGCTGTAAAACTATTCCAACTTGTTTCCTTATAGGTGTTGATTGTTCATACAAATTGCCTCACTTCCTTGGTTCCCAAATCTTGCAGCCTTCTGAGCCTTGGAACAATCAAGGTAATGTGCCAGTTCTCCTCAGGAACCTTGATGTTGGACTGAGGCCAGGGTCCTTCTTCAGTTATTTAGCTGTTAATAAAGCTCTGCCACCTTCCACACGTGTGTGGTACCAGGTGTAGTGAGGGGCAACAAGCAGGAGAATAAACTGAATAAAAGTAAAATGCAGTGGAAGCCTATCGTAGTTGGCCTTGTCATTACACAGTCTGCTTATACTGTCTCCCCAAACGTGATGTGTAGGATATAAAATCCAAGATGACCAAGATGACGAGGAGCCCAGGGATGGTGCCGGCAACGGCTGTAGTGAAGGAGCTGAGAAGCCCTAGGGTAGTCACGAGAGATGTGTTTTAAGGATTGCCCTGTGGGAGAGGGACGATGTTTGTTCTGCTTGACTCTAAGGGGCAGAACAAGGAGCAACCGTTAAAAGCTTCAGAGACAGATTTCAGTCAGACCTGGGGGAAAACCTCATAAAAAATGGGGCTGTAGAGAAGGGAATTGGGCTTCTTCAGGAGGGATGGCTTCCTCATTATCATTGGCATCTGTGAAACGCTTGTTGGGGATATGGCAGAAATGTTGTTGTTCAGGTGTGAGTTGGCCGGGTTGACCTGAGGTCCCTCTCAGCTCCAAGGCTCTGTGACTGATTCTGTGTGGTCAGTCACTACGTGTTTATTGAGGGTCTGCTGCATACCAGGTGTTATATAGGGATACAAAAAAGGAGGTGACATAGACCTGATCTTGAAGGACAAAGAATTTACAATTTAATAGGGAAGGAAAAATATTACATGAGAAGTTAAATAACAAATACAAATAACAGTGTACAAAGCACAAAGCACGTGGCAGTGCATGATTCATTGTGGAATGAGTGATTACCAACCGTAAATGTGATTTTAGAGAAGAAAGAAATTATTCTGGGTTGGCAAGTCTTCATGACAGAGATGGAATTTGAGCTGGACCTTGTAGAATGGTGATAATTGGGCTAAAGTCTCCATTATTAGGGTGTTTTCCCCCCATCTGACCTTTACACGAGGTCTCAGGGCATCTTTCTGGTCTATGGAATGTTTAGGTTGAAGCCCTTTCAGCTCTTTGACCAGGGGTGTGTGAAAGATCTGTCTTCTTTCCGCAGGTTTTGGACCTTCATGATAACCAGCTAACAGCTCTTCCCGACGCTCTTGGACAGTTAACATGTCTTCAGGTACGCTCCACACTCAGAACTGTGGTCCCTGGGACTGACGAATGGGCTGTTCTGCTTTGGTGAGCAGGTGCAGGAAGGGCACTGCTCTCCCTTAATTCTGCGCTTTGTCCTTGCGGTGTCAAAAAGGCTGTGATGGCATTCTGGCCCTGAGGGGCCAGCTCTCCTTTAGAAAAAGGCCCCGCCCTCTTGGCTACAGTCATCGTCTCTGTGCTTTGGTTAGGAGGTGTCTTATTGCTTCTCAGCAAAGACAGATCAGGACTGAAGAATTGGAGAGGTTTGGAGTGCTGTGGGAATTTAGAGGCAGCAGACACCACTTCCACGGACCAGGGAAGGTTTGACTCAGACCTTGAATGAGACTTAGGTGGAGTGGGTGGGGAGGGGCATCGTAGATAGAGAGGATAGCAGAATAGCATGACCAAAGACTCAAAAGGAGAAGGAACAGAGGGTGTGTTTGGGGAATCCAGGCAGCTAGGTGGTGCAGTGGCTAGACCTCTGGGCCTGGAGTCAGGAAGACTCATGAATTCAAACCCCGATTCAGATTCTTACTAGCTGTGTGACCCTGGGCAAGTCACTTAACCCTGTTTGCCTCAGTTCCTCATCTGTAAGATGAGCTGGAGAAGGAAATGGCAGACCACTCTGGTATCTTTGCCAAGAAAACCCCAAATGGGGTCATGACTGAGCAACAACAAAATGTCACTAGAGCACAGAGTGTATGAGAATAGTAGGAGACAAGCTTGGAAGGTTATACTGTAGTATGTGACTCCGGGTCAAAAGGGCACTGCTCTGGATTCAGATCAGCCCTGACACCCAGCAGGAGATTGTGCAGAGCTCGCTTAATGGCTCAGAGCCTCTGTTTCTGTGCTTGTAAATGAAGATAACAAAATGTACATTACTTCCTGCATAGGGTTGTTGTGATGAAAGTATTTTGCAGACCTCAAGGACCCATGTAAATAGTTTGTTAGTTGGTTTTAAAGACCAGATCTGTGGTTTCATTGGCATACGGAACTGCCAATGAGAAAACTTCCTCTACCGATAGATTGATATTTGCTTGGCACCTTCTAGCCTTAGGAATCGAGTGGTTAAGTGACTTGCCCTGAATCACACAGCCATTATGGGTCCAGTTGGTAGGACCTGAATCCCAGGCTCTGTATCCACTAGACCCTACTACCTCTCATAATAAATCAGTTGCTCTCTGTAAAATTAAGATAATCATATGTGTTGTGATTATTATTGGGGACAAGTCATTGTGGGTCTTGAATTACAAGAAAAGGAATTTGGCCTTTATTAGGCAATAAGACAGAACATACTCAGAATTGTGCTTTAGGAAGATCAAACTAAAGTATTTCTTCTTAATTTTAATCATCAGTCAGTCAGTATTTATTAAGCTTTTACTGTGTGCTGATGATTAGAGATACAATGAAAAAGCAAAACCAGCCCCTGCCCTTGAGGATCTTGTAGTCTGGCAAGGAGAGACAACATGTACTTATTTGGACATGTACAAAATAGATACAAGCTAATTTGGAGGGCGTTACAAAATAAGATTGGTACTCCAAGCCTACTAGAAAGTATACCTTTCCAACCTTATCTCCCACTGTTTCTTCTTCTCCCTACCCTGTGCTCTAGGGCAGAGGTGTCAAAGTCAAAAGGAAATGGATCCCTGCTGGCTGCATATTGACTTAGAAAACCATGAATTAACATTATCTACATTGTATTTTTCCTTATTTTGTTAAGTATTTCCCAATTTTGCAGGCTGGGAGCTTTGCTCTAGGGTCTATGTTAGCAGCTGGTGGACTCAGGAAAAGCCTCAGGTAGAAGGTGGTCCTTGAGTTGGGCCTAAAGGAAGTGAGGGGTTCTAGGAGACACAAGTGAGGAGGGAGCCTGTTCTGTGCATGAGGCAGAGGCGCCGAGATGGAGATGGAAGGTCCTGTGTGAGGAAGAGTAAGGAGGCCGCTTGACTGATTTTGTGTGCATGGACGGGAGCCACATAATCAGACTGGGGAGGGACAATGGCACCAGGTCGTGAAGGATTTTAAATACCAAACAGAGGAGTTTATATTTGATGCTGCAGATAACGAGGAGCCCCCAGAGTTTACTGACTGAAGAGTAACACAGCCAGACCTCTGTTTAAGGAAAATCAAAAGGCAGCCGTGTGGACGATGGACTGGAGAGGGCAGACACCAGAGTCATGGAGACCAAATAGGAGGCCGTGGTGATGGTCCAGGTTTGAGGTGATGAGGGCCCGAGCTAGGGTGGAGGAAGAGAAGGCAGAAATGTGAGAGTATGAGAGAGATAGTGGAAGTTGAAATGCCAGACTGTGCTCCCTGGATGTGGAGGTATCCAAGGAGGAGTAAGAATCAGGGACATCAAGCTTGTGAACCAGGTGACTATTAGGACGGCCACACCCTGGACAGAAGGAGAGCAGTTTGGGAAAGCTGTGCTCTAAGAGCACAGTTGTCCAGCCCTGACTGAAAAAACATTGTATTATACGATAAGGTTGAGTAAGTTGTTTCTCCTGATCTCCTTGAAAGGTACATCATGGTAGTCTCTGGGTTTTCCAGCTGCAGCAGAGGCCCAGGTGCTCTGGGTCAGCAGGGGTCAGGGAGACAAAGCACCGTCTCTGTTTCCAGGCCATGGCCAGGCGTTCTTTTCTCATTTGGGCTCCTCTGCCTTCTCTGGAGCCAAGGGCTTGGGCAGTCTGCAGCACCAGGACAGGGGATGATGCAGGCTCATGCCGTGCTTTTGCAGTTACTTTTCATTCACCTACTAGAGAAGTGGAGGTTCTGGTGATGTGGGTTTGACTAAGTTCCGAGCTGGCCTAGTGCCCAGTTCCTTGGACTTAATCACTGGATCTTTTTTTGGAGAGTTCAGTTCAGTTCAATTCAACAAGCATATGTTAATCACCTGCTGAGTGCCAGGTGCTGCCCTAGGCTCTGGGGATAGGCAAAGACAAAAACAAAACTCTCCCTGAGCTGTCCTGGGGAGAAACAGCAAGTGCCCAGAGAAGTAAATGCAGATTATCTAGAAAAGAGATGCAAAATGTTTTCCATGGGCTGAGAATCCAACAGTTGATGGAATGGAGACAGGAGGGAGCACTGGAACCCTGGGAGGCAGAGGGAGGAGGGATGGCATTCCAGGCATTCCTGGGCAAAGGCATGGAGGTAAGAGAGGGAAATTATATGGTGAACAGGATATAGGCCAGTTTGGCTGGAACAGAGAGAGAGAAGGAAGGAGAGAAAGAGAGGGAGAGTGTGTGTGAGTGTGAGTGAGTGAGTGTGTGAATATGGAGAGACAGAGAGGAAGAAATAACAGGCACATGAGTGAGTGAGCATGAAGGGAGCTAACGTGAGCATCTTCTGAAAAGAGAGGCTAGAGCCAGATTGTGAAGGACTTTGAAAGCCAAACAGAAGAGTGTATATTTTATGCTCGAGGCAATAGAGAGACGCTGGAGAGACTGTGCACTTGTGCAGAGGAGTGACGTGATTAGAACTTTGATTTAGAAATACCAGGTTAGCAGCAGTGTGGGGATGGATCAGAGAAGAGAGAAACTGAAGGCAGGGAGATCTGTTAGGAAGCTACTGCGGTGATCCAGTGAGCCGTGATGAGGGCCCATGTGAGCAAAGAGGAGGCAACCCGGGGGTGATCACCAACCAGGGACAAAGCAGACTGGTTGGAGCTTCTTTTTTTTTTTTTTCTTGTCTTCTTTGAAGGTACTAATGCCTAATGAAATGGGCAGGAAGCATTAGGAAGGAGAAGTCCTTCTTAGTGTGCTGCAGGACCTGAATAATTATTGAATCCATCATTGAGATTAAGCATGTCCTCCCAGTAGTATCTGTGGGGCCAATGGAAGCTCTGTTTTTACCTTCAGGAGACTGTGGTATAGACGACTTATAGTTTCTTTATATTCTCTTTTCTCTGTTTTAGGTCTTGAATATTGAAAAAAATCAGTTGAAATGTCTTCCACAGTCCATCGGGGACCTGGCCCAACTCCAGACTCTCAATGTGAAAGGTTTGAGAGCAAGATAAACTCCCCAGTACTGTCTCTTCACCTGAGTGAAGATCAGTTAGGCCTGAGCTATCCAGTGCCTGTACATGCTTTGAGGAAGCTGGTGGCTCAGTGAGTAGAGCACTTGGGCCTGGAGTCAGGAAGATCTGAGTTCAAATCTAGCCTCAGACATTTCCTAGCCATGTGACCCTGGGGAATTCACTTAACCTCTGCCTGACAAAATGGATCCACTGGAGAAGGAAATGACAAACCACTCCAGTATCTTTACCATGAAAACCTCAAATGGAGTTGCAAAGGGTCAGACACGGCTGAAATGACTGAACAACATGTGCTTTGAGCAGATATTGAAATTGAAAGAGTGAAAGTATTCTGTAAGGCAGAGCTGCCACAGACCAAATAAGCTGCGGTCATGAAGGAGCCCTATAGTGATTAGAGATAAGATTTACCACAAATATCTTAAAGACTATATTTTATTTGTATAAAATATATTTTGATATATTTAAAATTAAATAAAATATTAAATATTCAATATACTTATATTTATTTTATATTATTTATATTTATTATAATTTAAATTAAATTATAATATAATTTATATAATAATATATAATTAATATAAATTAAATCATACAATTTAATATTATAAAATATTGCTCATATGTATTTAATATTCAATATATTTATATAGATACATTTATTATATATTTAATATTTATATTAAACAAATATTAAATGAAAATAAATATTAAATAAAAATATTAAATATATTTAAAAATAGATTTTATTGATATCTCGTTTTTACGTTGCCCAGATTTCCTCCCACTTCCCACCTCATGCTCTTCCCAGAGTGCCATCTCTTATAACAAATAATTTTTCTTAAATGAGGGAAGGAGAGAAAAAAAATTCACCCAGTCAGGTGAACACATAAAAAACAAAACCAAACCCCACCCCTGATGCTATATGCAGTCTTCTACACTTGTAGATCTCCTGCCTCTGCAGAGAAGCAAGGGGAAGTATCTTTCTGTATCCCTTCTTTGGAGCCAAACTTGCTATTTATTATTTTCAAAACATTCCATTTTGGTTGATTTGTGGTTGTTCTTTCTATGTACATTGCTGTAGTCATTGTCTATGTTGTTTTCCTGCTTCTGTTCACTTCAGTTTGCATCAGTTCAGATAACTCTTTCTGTGTTTCTCTGTATTCATTAGTTATTATTTCTTATAGCACAGTAACAAGCCATTAAATTTATGTACCACAGTTTGTTTACCCATTCCCCATTGTGTTGGCGTCTACTTTGTTTCCAGTTCCTTGCTACCGTGAAAATACTGCTTTACGTATTTTGATGTATTTGGAGCTTTCTTTTTATCAATGATCTTCTTGGAGTATATGTCTTTCAGAAGAATCTCTAGGTCACTTTATTTGCATAATTCCAAATTGCTTCCCAGAATGGTTGTACCAGCTCACAGCTCTACCAGCAGTACATTAACATGCCTGTCTTTCCACAGCTCCTCCAACACTGACAATTTCTGTCTTTTGTCTACTTTGCCAATTTGCTGGGTATGAGGTAAAATGCCAGGGTTGTTTTGATTTGCATTTCTCATATAATTAGTGATTTTGATCCTTCTTTCATATGGTTATTAATAGTTAGCAATTCATCTTTTGAAAAATGTTTGTTCATGTCTTTTGGCCCCTTCTCTGTTGGGGAATGACTTTCAGTATTTTTTATATACATATATATATATATATTCTGTTAATTTTCTGTATTTCATGAATAGCAAACCCTTATCAGAGATATTTGATACAAAAATTGTTTTTGCCAATTGACCATTCCTCTATTTCCCCACATAGGGTTTTAATGGCTTCTCAAATTCAAAGCATTTTGATATAGGTGGTAGACAGTTTTGGAATTCAGGCCTGGGGGACCCAGCTTTTCATTCTTTCTCAGTGCTTGATCTCAGGTAGGTTGCTTCTCCATGGAGTGCTTTAGTGGCTCCATTTAGGGCTGTCAGCATCTTTTAGAGAGAGTGGATCATGCTACATGTTGGAATAAGTGACAGAAGACCCCCTGAGCCCCTGAGATGTGTCAGACCCAGGGGCTTTACTCCTATACATTAAGTGGCAATCACTCTGTCAGTGGTTTGAGCACTGAGCTGTGTGCTTGGGATTTTTCTCTAGATAACAAACTGAAGGATCTGCCTGACACCTTAGGGGAACTTCGTAGCTTGCGCACTCTGGATGTCAGTGAAAATCTGATACGGAGACTGCCCCAGATGCTGGCTCATGTCCGCACCCTAGAGGTAAATTACAGCCATGTTCCTCACAGCTTTGGTTTTTTTTTTTTAACCTATCAGCAAAGTAGACAGCTCTCTCTTTTAGGAAAATTAATCAAGAAATAAGTATTTATTAAGCACCTACTATGTGCCGGGCACTGTGCTAGACTTCAAGGATGCAGAGACAAAATGAAACAGTCCCTGCCCTCAAAAGGGTTGCAGTCTCTTAGGGGAGATAACAGGTACACATATAAATGTACACAAAATAAACACAAAGTAATTTGGAGCGGGAGGCTCTAGCAGCTGGTGGGGTGGAGAGCTTTGGGAAAGGCCTCATATAGGAGGCTGCTTTTGAGTTGAGCTTTGAAGGAAACTAGAAATTCTAAGAAGCAGAAGTGAGGAAGGAGTGCATTCCAAGCATGGGGGGACAGCCTGTGCAAATGCATGGAGGTGGGAGATAGAGTTTTGCTAGTGAGGAACAGCAGAAAAGCCAGTTTGTTGGGGCCATAGAATGCTTGAAGGGGAGTAATATATAGTAAGGCTAGAAAAATAAGTGAGGGCTTTGGCAGGGACTTTAAGTGCCAGACAGATGAGTTTATCTTTGATTATAGAGTTAATAGGAACCCTCTAGAGTTTATTGAATAGAGGAGTGTGACATGAAATGACTAGACAGTCCCAAGAATTAGAAACTGGGTGATGTTCTTCATTGGTAGAGCAAGGTTTCTTTGTTTTTGTTTTTGTTTTTTTAAGTTCTAGGGGGCTAGCCTCAGGCTGACAAATATTGGAAGAATGGGAGATATCAGGTATGTTGGAGGCTTTGCTTCCATCCTTAATGTTTTGCAGACTCTGAGCCTCGATGCTGCATCCATGGTCTATCCACCTGAGGCTGTGTGTAGTATGGGTACGGAGGCCATTCAGCAGTTTCTTTGCAAAGGTAAAATCTAGGGTTTCTGGTATTGTTTTTATCACTGCATAAAGCTCTCAGACATGAGTATAGGCATTGGATAGGAAGAGAGACATGTCCAGAGTGTTCTTTGAGCCCCTTAAGTGTGCTTTATTGCATTGGAGAGCCAAATCTCAGGGTCTTTCTGCAAAATAATGAGTTCCTGGGCCAACTTACCATGCTGTCCACCCCAGGACCCCAGATCCTTTCCAACTTGCTCCTGGAGCCTTGTCTCCCTTCCCGTCAGATACACACTCACTATCTATTCCAAATTTAAATATTGTAAATAATTGTTTTAGATTTGGGCTTTACCTGCTTCTGTTACCCATATTATTTTCCCCTCCATTTGGCAAAATCAGGGCCCTGCCCTTTTCTGCATTCTTTTCAGTCCAGGGACACGTATGCAGGTGCTTATTCTCGTGGAAAACTTGCATTTGTCAGAGAGAAGATCCTTCTGATTAGAAAATGAATATATCTTGGATAGTAGAAAGTGGTGGAAGAAGATGTTTAGCTTTAAGGCCAGCTGGGGGCTCTGGTCTGGCCCGGGTCCTTGTCTTTTGTTGTCATTTGGGTAGAGCTGGCCGTGCTCTTTTTCAGAATCTGGGCTTGAGTACTACCCACCCTCCCAGTTTTTGCTCCCAGTGTTGGAAAGAGATGGAGGAGAGACTTCGGTGGATAGTACTGACGGACTAATTTGCAGCTATGTAAAGGAGGAGACGGAGTGGCAGGTGAGGATCAGCATGCTGACTCAGAGACACTCCCTTCCAGACATAAAAACTTCGGGGGCTCATGGCCTTTGGCCTCCTACCAAAAGGGTGCAGAGCAGAAGCCCCAGTGCTTCTTTGTCCTGTCTGACTTTATTCCTACAAGTGAATGCTCTGTTCTTAAAGACTACTATAAAACTGTGCATTAGATGGGTCTGCTGGGGTCCTTGTGTCAACTCCCCTTTCTCTCAACTACTATTATTTTTTGTTTTTCAGAATAAATTCTTAGATTATGAGAAGAGAAAGGTGAGCAAACATGCAAAAGTCCTACATCTTTGAAAAATGGAAGCCAGCAAAAACAGGAGGGTTTGAGGTGGACATGTTGGAAAAATCCAATGTTTCTTTCTTTCTGAGAATTCAACTGTAATTTTCCTTTTAATAATAATAACAGAACTGTCTTTGAGATGAATTGGCATTACTGTTCCTATGTGCTATCTTGCTGATTGGCACCAGAGTTGATAGGAGCGCTGATCTTGGACCTGGTTTCAGTTCCCGCCTCTGACATTTACTAGCTATGAGGCTGTGGGCAGTCACTTAACTCTTCCCATTCTCCCTTTTCTAATCTGCAAAATGAGCATAATAGCATCTGTAGCATTCAAATGATGTAACGCATGTTAAGTGCTCCGAAAAGTCTAAAACTACATAAATATTAGCTTCATTACCATTGTTGTTTCGCCTCCCGGTGTCTCTGAAGGCTGGGAGAGCTGTAGTGGCCCTGCTTTGCACCCAGACACTGACCACAGAAGAGGGTCTCTTGAAGAAGTGTAATCCAATTCCTCTTATCAGGCAGGGCAGAAAAGGTTTCCTGCTGCAGACTAGCTTTAACTTGGCCCTCTGCTAAAACAAGCTGTGGCTGTTTCAACCGAGAAGCTGATGTACCACTCAAACCAAATATTTCTCTATCCCCCGAAGACTTTTTATCTCTCTTACTGATTCTTAAGACGTTGGGCTGTAAAAGTGTAGCTGTTGTTTTTCTTCTTGTAGCCTTGACTTTTTCCCTGACCATTTCTTGGCTATGAAAGAACCAGCACAGGTGATCTGTTATGCTTTAGATTGATTTTTGCAGGGTGGAGCATTAACCATTCCGGTTCACTGTTCCAGAAATCCCTTGGAGTCTGTATGCTCTACCTCAGCGTCTGTGTCTGTCACCCACTCATGTGCGCTGCCTCCTCTAGGGGTTTCTTCACTGTGAAAAGTTGCATGTTATCAAGAGATAGTCAGGCTTGGGGCTTGATCTTCTTTATGTTGGCCCTCTGGCCTCGATTAAGAAGAGAGCAAGATCTGGGAGCAGCTTGTGCCGTTTTCTTGTCGTGACCCTTCAGATCTCTGTTGTCTCAGGAACAGAAGATGCTGGAGAAGTTAGAATTTGAACGTCGCCTAGAAATTGGGCAGCGGGAGCATGCCCAACTCCTCCAGCAAAGCAGCAGTCAAAAGGATGAGATACTGCAGACCGTCAAAGAGGTACGTCCCTGCCAGGCCCATGGGCAGCAGCCAGTAGTTGCTATTAGTATGGGGCTGGCCAGACTGTGTCTGTATTTTTTTTTTTTTTGGTGAGGCAGTCGGAGTTAAGTGACTTGCCCAGGGTCACACAGCTAGTAAGTGTCATGTGTCTGAGGCCAGATTTGAACTCAGGTCCTCCAAGACCGGAGCTTTATCCACTGTGCCACCTAGCTGCCCTCCCTAATGCATTTTTGGCATAGTGAGGGAGGATCCAGAGAAGGGAAGGGCATGGAGGCCATAGTTCTCACCTGACCGATCCCCTTGGAGACCAGACTGTCCTTCCCCCCTGCAGTCTGCTTTTACCCTGGCATGTGAGTTACAGATGACTGAGAGAGAAGCTAGCCTTTTGTGGCATGTGAGGACTGTCCTGGTGCCTTTATTTCCTCAGACTTTCCCCAGGACTGACACTTGAGACCACATCTCCCTCAGTTACATGCTTTATTTAGTGAGGAAGGGACAGGGGCAGATCCTGCCATGGTTTGGCCGGCAATGTCACTACTCACATCATTCGTAGATTGTGACTTGGACTGACCACACCTCTGGCCAATATCCAAGTTTTTGAATCATTCCGAGATAGCTCTAGCTAGACTTGGTGAGACTTCCTGATCTCTCTGCCACACAGAAGTTTATATGTAGCACGTCCCAAATCTTGTCACCTGGCGTGACGTCACGTGGATTGCCTGCCTCACTCTGAGTGATCCTGACTTGAGATGAGGCTGTGTGGTGTAGACCTGGAGCGGGAGGACCTGGGGTGAATCCTGACTCTGCTGCCTGATCTCGGTGACATTAGGCAAGTCACTTCATCTTTTTAGGGACTCGGGTTCCTCATCTACAGAATATGTGTGTGGGGGGAGCAGTCAAAGCCAGATTCATTTCAGTGACCAGTCTTGAAAATGTATGTGTGAAGTGTGAGAAGACCTGATGACCCACACTTCTCTCCTCTTGGGGGATTATGGGAGTGCCGTGTGGTTGTCAGATGGGGTCATTTGGATCCTAGACATAAAACTGGAAGGAATTTTAGTGGTCATCTCGTTGCGTACTTTTATTTTATAGAGAAGGAAACTGAGGCTCTGAGGGATGAATCATGTTTTCCAAGATCTCATAGCCACCCAAATCACTCTGGCTTTCATTGATTGGCCAACAGTAGGTGCCAGGCCAAGCCCCACTTGGTCACTGTTTGGGCTCTGATTGGCTCAGAGTGACTGTAAATAGCAGTTGTTTCTGTTTTGGCCAGAAACACTGAAGGTCTTCTCCTCCCAGATTGATTTTTTTTTAAACTAAGTAAAAGAAGCCATTCTCTGCCTTGTTTCTTACCTAGCCTTAATCATTGAATGGGCATTGCCTCAGTCAAACTGAGACCTGTTAAAGATCTTAGCTTAAAAAGGACGAGGTCTTCTACTACATCTGGGAGCCATCTCCAGTCTTCCTGATCAATATCTGGCCACCGGACCCAGATGGCTTCAGAGAGTAGAGAAAGTGAGGCTGGTGACCTTGCACAGCCCTCCCTCACTTAAATCCAGTTCACTTGCGTGTCATGGCAGCACCTTCGTGACGTCATGATCCTCTTTAAGAACAAAGGACAAACAACAACAACAATAGTTAAGCGGCAGAGCCAGGATTTCCACCAGGCTTGTTTGACTTCAGGACCAGTGCTCTTTTATCACACAGCCCTGTTTTATCTGTCAGTTCTGCTAAATAATTTTCTTTGGTACAAAAAGAGTGTTCAGTCTGGTGGTAGCATTTTGGGAAATGATTGGTGTAAAAAATAAAAGGCATCAATAAAACTTAAAAAAAATAAAGGGAGTTAAACCAAATCATCTAAAGTCCCTTCTGATCCCAACCCCGACTAAGATCCCATGAGTCTCTGGTGGACCACAGGTGCATTCCTAACCATTTCTTTCCCTGCCATTGTTTTCTTTGTGCAGTGTGAGATCTCCCTGAAGGACAGGGATTTGTGAACACAGAGACATTTTTCTGCTCCTCATTTCTGTCCTTCCCTCAGCCCTGACCCTAAAAGCACCTGCATCCCAGCTTTTTGGGGACCGGGAGCTCTGACTTGCAAGCTATCCTGCGTCAGCGCTCTGCTTTCTGCCACAGGAGCAGTTTCGGTTGGACAAGGGCCTGTGTGAGCATCAGCGCTACCTGGATGGAGAGCGTCAGCGTCTACAGAAACAGCTGAAGCAAACAGAGCAGAGCATCTCAAGCCGGATTCAGAGGCTCCTGGAAGATAATCAGAAGTAAGCCTCCTGGGTCGTAGAATCATTCTTCCCTACATGTGCCCAGCCTCCAGCGAGCAGCCTGCTCCTGCACATATGAAAGTCTTGGCATCCAGGCCAACCTTATATATAGGCAGCTGCCTCCATAGTTTGATTGGAGGGGCACTGGGAAGGCCCCCTTCCAAAAAATACCTTCCATCAGGAATTATGGATGCCTAAGATTCTGCCATTCAAGATTCATTCTTTGGGTGAGGGCGTCAGCCCTTTAAAATGCAGTTGCCCCAGAAGAGTTGCATGTCATCAATATCATTTTAGGGTAATTTGTTCATCAGGGCCTTTCCAAAGTGACAGCTACTAATAGCAGGTTTTATTTTTATTCTTGTAAGGGAGGGGAGCTGTAGGGGGTCTGGGTTATCATGAAAACGGTGGACCTCTTAGACAAAATGAGGGATTTTGGAGCATGCCACAGCACAGGGGAGAGGAGAGGCCTAGGAAGACAAATTTATTCTCCTTCACTGTCTTGCTGAGATCTAGTTTTGCCGTACCCTCTTTAGGCAACAAGTCTCTATTGACTAAGTGGCCAGTCCTGGTGCCAGGTGTTCTAATTTCTCAGGTATGTCAGGGATACAGGAGCAGGTTCTTAGAATAATAAAGTGATCTGACTCTGAAAAACCTTTTGATCCTCTCCACAGACAAAGGAAAAATTCTGAAATCTTGAAGTCACTAGAAAATGAGAGGTAAGTGTTTAGCTTATCAAAACCTTGTTGAGCTAGGTTACTTACTCTTTTCCTCTAGGCACCTCTTCCTTTCTTCTTTACTTCCTATGAACTGTGAGAATTACAACAAAAAATGTACCAAAAAATTCCCAAAATTTTATCCCAAAAATTCCTAAAAGTGTTGGGGATGGATGTCTACCTCATTTTATCCACTACTGAGAATCCATTTCCCATGGGAAATGATTGGATTAGAAATTAATTACTAGCTTCAGATTATTTTAAAATACCCAGTAGAAATTTATGTTCTAAGATCACCCGGATTGCCAAAATACCATCAAGGACCTTCCATTGCCATTTTGACTGCTACCACCAACTCACTTCAACATCTGGCCCTCTCCATCATTAGTAGTTGTAGTTAATTGGCAGGGTATCCCTTCTGTCCATGAGTTAATGCATTTTTCTACTGTGAGATGATTCAAAATTGACTCCTTAGGATCTCTCATTCCCTAAGGGAATTCAGTTAATTACTGATGGAGCTTTGGGGACATAGGTACTTAATTAGGATGTCCAATGACATCATCTGATGTAACTAGATTTGATGTTTTATATGCATTTTAATGAATGAAAACTTTGCAGGATAAAGATGGAGCAACTAATGGCCATAACCCAGGAGGAGACGGAGAGTCTGCGCCAAAGAGAGGTTGCCTGTAAGTCTTAGAAGTGGGGGCTGAATCCTGCATTGGAGCAACCATTGGTTACATGGGGAACAGAAAGACCTATGTTGGGCAACTGGAAGAGATTTACTTAGCAAATCCATGGTTATGGTTTACACTTTGGTGTTCTGAGGCTGATCAGTTTCCTCTTTCTGTCATCTCCTAGGGAGATATAATTTACTCTTCATTATTCAGGGTAATGGGGGAAAGCCTACCCATGTCAGAATCTTGCTTAATTGAAATAATATACAAATTGTGCATTAAAAATTAGTCTAGGCAAATGAGGCAACTACTTATTATCTAAAATGCTAATTTTTCAGTTTAGAATCCAGTATCTAGCATAGTTTTGTTCAGCCACAGTATATACATAGCTGATAGTTTCGAATTTGTAAGCAATACAGTGGAGAAGACCAATATAATCCTTTAAAAATAATTACTTTATTGGAGCATCTGCTTCTCAATTTCTTGCTCCATGTTGTCCCACTGGAGCTATTTCAGGTTTATGTTTTCTGAGGGCAGTGATGCCTTAGAATACTCCCTGTAGCATTCCTCCTGGGATAGGTCCATCCTACTGAAGAGGTAGCCAGTAACGTTTGATTCAGAGATCTTAAATGTGGGGTCTGGAAGGAGGTTGGGATGACTTGGGGACTAGTTGGTGCTGGTTAATGTGTATACACTTTTCCAGGCCAATTAGAATTTTGGGGGCCAAGCAATTTTTATGAAACAAGTAGCCCAGCTTCCCTTTTTTTACTGGAATATTTTACTGGGAAATACAGTGTATTCACTAATGTAATGTTTGCATCTCTATCTTGGGATTACCCAGACCAGCATTATGTTGAATTATGTCACAGGGTAGGTCTTTGGGAGTTGCTGAATCATCAGTTGACAAGGTTAGGATTCCAGTGTCCCCAACCCATACTGAAAGATCTTTGATGTTTTTCCCAGCTGCCATGCAGCGGATGTTGACAGAGAGCTGCAAGAATAGATTTATTCAAATGACCTATGAGTCTCAAAAGCAAAGTCTGGTCAAGCAAGCCTGTTCCAGGTAAGGTCCGGAGGAACCCCAGGCCTGTTAAAGAGGGGTGGGGCTGTGCAGGGCAGGGGAGTTTGGTAGCAGCCCATGGCTGGTGATTGAAGCGTCTGGGTCCTCTCTTCCCTCCTCTGCCACAAACTCACTATGTGATCTTGAGCTTGTTTCCTGGAGGGAGGCTGATGACTTGCAGTCAGATGACTTAGGTTCAAATTCCTGTCCCACTAGTTAGTAACAGTGTCATCAAAACAAGTCATCTTCTCTCTCTGGGCCTCAGTTTCTTCACTTATAAAAATGACGGTTGGATTAGATAATTTCAAACATTTCTTCCAACCCAAAGTCCTATGACCTCTCTTTGTGTCTATTTCTTTACTTGTGAAATGGTATCCAAGTTGTCTGTCCACCTTATGCTGGTGGGTTGTGTGCATCACCATGATATTTATTAATCCTGGAGAGCCCTTTGGAAGCTACATACAGGACTAGAAGTGGGAAGTACCAAAGGAATAGGTCAGGCTGTGTTCTTGCTAGTTGTGAGTAACAGTCCGGAGTCAGGGGACATGAAGCCAATTGGATTGAACCAGCCAGATCAGTCAAAGGCAGACAAGTGGATAGAATCAGGTCCCGGGGACCGGACTGAACAACATGGCCAACATAAATAGGGAAACAGAAACCTAACTTTTTCCTCTTCTGCTAGAGGCAACGTAATTGCAATTTCTCTGACTTCCTTGGGCTGTTTTTTCCATATCTCTCCTTTCTTCCTGTTTGGATTTGGATGGAGCCAGGCTCATTCACCTGTCTTTCTTGCAGCATGGCCCAAATGGATGAGAGATTCCAGCAGATCCTGGCTTGGCAGCAGATGGATCAAAACAAAGCCATCAGCCAGATTTTGCAGGAGGTGGGTTGGGGAGCTAAGCAGACAACTGTCACCAGGAGTTTGGAAGCTGGGCCAGAGAGGAGGCGGAAATCCAGAGCTCTGGTGAAAGCTTCTAAACTGCCAGAAACCTGGGCTTCCAACTAGTTCATGTTAGGAAGGAAAAAACCGTCCCCCTGTGGAAACTCTCCCCTGAGGGATTTGGAGACTGTGGCTAAGATTTTCAGTTCTACACCTAAGCTTAACAGAAGGGATGGAAAACCTCTCAGGGGCCTCTGGGTGGTGTTTTTTTATTCACCGCATCCCCACATGAATTCCCCCTCCTGCTGGCATGCTGTTGCTGTCCCTAGTAGCATGGATGTCCTCTGAGTCGGGGGTTAGGGTGGTTGAAGAGTTGAGAGCATTGGTTAATTATCTAGCCACCAGTTCAAAGGGCAGGAGATAGCGGGTGATAATGCTCTCCCTCCACGTTCCCAAAGACTTATGAATTGGCCTCCGAACCTCACAAGGTACTCTTCATATTCTCCCTGCGCCAGTCTTTCTCTTTCCCTTTCCTTCCTACCTCTGTCTCTTTTCTCTTCCTTAACATCTTTTCTGTTGTGTTTCTTTTTTCTCCTTTTACCTTTTTTGTCTATTCCCCTTATATTTTTTAGTATTAACTGTCTTAATGAAATTTGATGGTCCCTGATTTTAACTTTAAAAGCCAGTGAACTGAGCATTTTAATTTTCTTCAAGAAAAAAAAATAAATTCTCTTCCTTTTTTTTTTTTCTTTTGAATGTGGCCCCGCTTATATTTTCGCTGAGCCTAGAATCTGAAATGGAAAAAAGGTTCTCTCACTTGGCTAAACAAAATTCAATCTCTGTTACAGAGTGAAATGCAGAAAGCTGCCTTTGAAGCCCTTCAAGTCAAAAAAGATCTCATGCACAGGCAGATCAGAAACCAGGTGAGCTCTAGGTCACCAGAGTTGGACCCATTTGGGATTTCTAAATATTGTGCACATCCTCTCCCTGAGCAGAGATGAACCTTCCCCGATTGCTATCTTCAATGTCAGTCCCAATCAGGAGGAAACCTACTCTTACTGTATTGCTCCAGAGAGCAAGAGAATAAGGACTGTATGCATAAGTTAGGGAGGCAGTTTCTCGACTCAGAATTTTAAAAAATTCTATATGTCCAGAACTATCAAGAGATGTAAGAGGCTACTTTAATGAGCTCCTCAAAACTGGCAGTGTTTGAGGACAGGTTGGACGATCACTTCGGTTGTTGTTGTTGGGATTCCTGCACCAAGTGGGACGTGACTTCTTACCTTTCTTTGAAAGCTTCTACCTCTAAGACTTAATATTTTATGATTCTAAATTCATCATCATGTTAGTTTTTTGGATTTTTCTAGGACTCCGCTGGAAAATTTTAAGAAAAGGTCATGACTTTTGACAGTATAATGGAAATGGAAATAACATTGAACTAGGAGTCAGGTTCTGGCTCTGCCATTAACTCACTGGGTAACTTTAGTTGACCCATTAACCTCTCTGGAATTCAGTTTCCTAATCTTTAAAATGAGGGAGTTGGAATAGATAATTTTTTTAAATTAATTTTTTTCAACGAACAAAAATCCCTCTTCTCTCCTTCTCCGCCCTTCTGCCCCTTGAAAAAGAAGAAAACAAACCTTTGTAATAAATATGCATAGCCAAGTAAAACAAATTTTCACATTGGCCATGTTGGATTAGATCTCTTAGGCTCCTTTGAGCTCTCAGAGTCTGATTCTGTGGATGACTAGGGGAGGAGAACAATGCCTCCCAGGGCCTGCTCCACAGAAGCCACACCTCCTAAGTCTCCATCATCTTGCCTTTTCACTTGATAACTCCGTAGCTCCCCAGTCTAAAGGGGGAGGGGAAGTACTCTGAAGTGCTCTTCCTCTGAGATAGTAAACTTCACTGTGATACCGAGGGCAAGGTGATTAGTACCCCTAAACTCCCTTTTGGCAGTGAAGGACTGTTTGCTACCAGATGTTGTGTGGGAAGGAATTGCTCTGAAAATGAACTTGTCCATGATGGCAAAGCTCATCTGCTGTGTAATATAGATGGTGAAGGCTTATCCCTTACATCATGCATGCCATCTTTTGCTGAGGCCCATTAGGTCTTCTAGTGAGCTGAGAAAAATCCCACTGCTTCATTCATTTAAAACTAGCCACTGGGAAAATTCCAGATATATTTCTGGGACTCATTCTGATTCCTACCCAGGAGGACTGGAGCCAGGAAATCTTTGCCATCCCTGCTGTGGGTATTGGAAAGAACACTGGGTATCAGTAGAACTTTTAAAAAAGAAAGAAAGTTATGTGAGATAGAAAGAAAAAGAGAGAGAGAGAGAAAGAAGGAACATTGCATTGTAGTTTTGACTCTGTCCCTGATAACAAGGTGACCTTGGCTAAATGATTTCACTTCTCTGAACCTTAGTTTCTTTTTCTGTAAAATAGGGATAGTGCCCTGCCAACCCCACAGGGTTGCTGGGAAGATTGCATGAGATCATGGATGCTAGGGTGCTTTGTAAACTGTAAAGTACAAGGGATTATTATTTGATTAGTTGAAAATCTCATTGCATCATCATTAAGCACATCGAAATTTCACATACTTGCATGTCTTTTTCTTTTTCTGATATGATTTCCTTTTTTATTTACCAGTTTAATTTAAATTCCATATTGCCCAACATGAAGCTCTTTTTTGTGACTTCACATGGCTGGCTGGGGAGTGACAAATCAGGAGTAGCCTTGGCTGAATTGGGCCCTGTGTCTCACATTGCACTCCCTCTCCCCCCAGCTGACTTAGAACTCCAAGCTTCCCCTTGGGGGCTTTGAAAGGAGACTCTTCCACTTTGAGAAGTAGGTGTGGGTGATTTTGACATTCTAAATCAGCTGTCTCCTAGCAGTTGCTCAGCTGGTGCCTTATGGGAAAAGTCAAGAAGCATCTTTTGTGTTTCTTAGCAGAACATGAGTCTTTCCCTGGAACTCTAGCAGCTGTTTGAGGGGACAGTTTAGCTAAAATGGGAGTGCAGGATGGTTTGACAGGTAGAGAGAAGGCTAGTAAGAGCCCCAGTAATATTGCTGCTTCTGGGACATCTTTTCTGAGTATTGAAGGGAATACTTGGTTATGGGGTAATTAAAAGGACTTAGCAGAATTTCCATCCTCCTGAAACTCCAGCCTTTCCCAGAAGGGTTGATTTGGAACATCATTTAGGGCTGTTTTCTACAGCAGAGTAAATCAATCCTTTGTAAATGTAAGTTAAAAACACTGTCTCATCTTCTGTTTAGATTAAGTTAATAGAAACTGAGTTATTGCAGTTGACACAGCTGGAGTTAAAGAGGAAAGTCCTGGACACAGAGGCACTGCAGGTATGTAGGGTTCTCCGGTCTGGCTCCATCCCTTCCACCTGTGATGGGTCTTGTTTGGGGGCTCTCTCAACCCCGTACATTTCACTTCTGGCTTTCTGCAGCCTCCACATCAGTCCATGTGTGAGCTAGCAACTTCTGTGGGAGAAAGGCCATTGAACTGATGGGGAGGAGACCTGGGCTGTAGTCCCAGACCTGCCCTCGCTCACTGCGTGCCTTTGGCCGAATCACTTGTCCTCTGTGAGCCTCAGCTTCCACCTCTGTAAAGTGAGGGGGTTGGACCAGAAGATCTTCAAAATCCCTTCCAGCTCTAACGTTCTGTGTTTTGACATTTTGTGTTCTAGGGTCCCTTCCAGTTCGATCATTCTATGTTCTCTGTTCTAACATTTGATGTTCCAAGATCCCTTCCAGTCCTAATGCTTCATAATTCCCCAAACCATGGTGCAGACTCAGCTTAGGTAGATTTGGTGACACCAGGCAGGCATGAAAACCCAACATGCATGGTTGTTCTGACCCTAGCGCAGGCAGAGGTGGGATGAACAGCCTCATTTTGGAAGTACAGGAGTTGGGTGAGTTTCCATCTCAAAGCCCCTTCCCAGGGGACACTTTTGCGAACCTTCAGATGCTATAGAAATGTGAGTCATTTCATTATCATCTTGTGTTTCTTTTGTTTTAAAGCGGAGCAGCCACTGGGCACTCCATGTGTTTAACTCATGCTTCCGGGCCTGCAGCTTCTGCTCACTTTGTTACCATCCTGTCATCCTCGGAGTGCACTTTTCATGTTGGGAGGATACTCTGGAGGAGAGGGAGCAGGGAAAGTTCAGACTGGCCTCAAGGGATGTGACCCCTATGCCCTTCTCTCTAATGTGCGCATTTACCCCAACAAGTATCCTCTGACAGGAGAATCTGCAGATGCCCCATCCCATTGATACATCTGTCTACAGGGAGACTTCGACTTCTCCAAACTGTGACCAACCAGCTGATGTTTTCACCTGTTCCATCTTTTTGCCCTTTTGAATGCTGACCCTTATGTACCTCTCTGTTCAGCATGGCTTCCTGGGAAATGCCTGGAATGACCATGAATCCAAAGTTGCCCTCCGGATCTCGTGCTAGGCCCCTTTGTCAGTTGTCTGAAAGTACTTGTTGGCCCAATGGAAAGCACACTAGAGTAGGAATCAGGAGCAGGAGCCCTGGGTTTTAGGCCCAGCTCTTACACTAACACAGGTTCTCTCACAGGCCACTTCCTGGCTTGGAACCTCAGTTTTTTCATCTGTCAAATGAGGAGCCCAGACTAGATTATCTCTAAAGTCTCTTACAGATCTAACATTTTATGGCTCTCTCTGATTGAAGGGGGAAAGAGTGATAGAAGCATTTGATGTTCCAGATGGCCCCATCTTGGGCAGAATCACCAGCTCTGTAAAGAGACCTTGCTTGGTGGCCTGATGCGTGCTTAGTCCAGGGGCTTCTCTGAGGCATTTACCCAGGGCTCACTTCCAGGTGTGAGAAGTGTGTGAGCCATGAGACAGTGGTAACAAGTTTGACCCCCATTTGCATCTACCTACAGACTTATTCTGCAGTCAAACCACATTTCAGGGTGATGCTGGCTTTTCTGCAAGTTGTCATTTCTGCTTTTGTTTTCTCGTTCTCATCAGCCCCTTCTCTTTAATAAGCCCATTGCTCAGATTCCCTGTGTCAAGCACGTGGGAGGAGCTTAGAATCCCAGAAAAGCAGGGGAGAGGGTGAATGGGCCGCAGAGGCCACCAGGACCTCTTGAGGCCCACAGCTTGTCAGGACCTGTGCCTCAGTCGGACCTCAGGGTAGAGCAGGGGCTGCTGGGAGAAGGGACAGGTGGATGGGGTCACAACTCAAGAGACATGGGTGTGTCTGGTGTTCCTGTCAGCACTCCTTGTTATGTTTGAAGAAATGGCTGTGATTTGGGGTACCTTCACCCTTCAACCCCTCCACTCCCTATATATAAGCAGGAGTCAGTGTGAGCCAGAGCATCTTCCTGCAGTATGGAAAAGGAGTCTGTTTGTACGTTGTAGGAAATGATCTCGGAGCAGCGCCAGGCCCTCAGCTCTCTGCTGCAGCTGCTCCTCAAAGAGAAGAGCCAGAGAGAGGAGGAGCTGCAAGGGATCTTGGTGAGTGTCTTGAGTGCGTAGGGCCTTGCTGGAGGGTGGTCCCCAGGCCAGGCCAGAACACTGATCAGGACTGCCCTTAGTGCTCCCTTCATTTTGTAACTTTTATCAACGTCTGCTTTTTGTTCTTTATATATTACAGTCATTTCTCTGTATACCTTTTCTCTTTTCCTCGCCAAACTCTCTCTTATAACAAAGAAACACACACACACACACACACAAATAGGGGCAGCTAGGTGGTGCTGTGGATAGAACACCAGCCCTGGAGTCAGGAGGACCTGAGTTCAAATCCAGCCTCAGACACGTGACACTTATTAGCTGTGTGACACTTATTAGCTGTGTGACCCTGGGCAACTCATTTAACCCTGATTGCCTTGCCTAAAAGAAAAGAAAAACGCTCATGCGAAACTGATCTCCACAACTGTGTATGTCTATATATGCCATATTCAGTGTCTGTAGTTATCTGACCTTCTGAGTCAAATGTTCATTGCATTTATCGAAATTGATTTTTTGTGTTGTATTTATTCTCATTATTATTGTCATGTTTGTTGATCTCTTGTTTCTACTTAATTTACTCTGTACCAATTCACGTTATGGCTTCCCATAATCTGAATTTCTTATATTTATCATTTCTTTGAATGAAGTAATATTCATGTACCACAGTTTATTCAGCCATCAGTAGGCTCCCACTTTGTTTCTAGTATTTTGCTCCTTGGCGTTCATTTTAACCACATTTTCCTACAAAAAATCTGGAGTGGGCAAAAAGGCCTGCCCTCACTCCAGGGAGGACTTTGCATACCAACAGTTTGACTGGTGTTTTGTGTGTTGGGCTGCTCAGCAATTTGAGGTGAGAAATTTTGGGATGAGTCCTTAAGGAAAACTACTCTGGACAAAGGAGCCATTTTCTTCTCAAAGAAGTCAGATTGACACTTGGGCTTGTCTTTGTGAAAACCCAAACTGGTGATCCCTGTGCCTAACATCTTAGTCAAAGCGCTATTGTCTTCTCCAGAAGATGAAGGCCCCCTTATAGACAAGCTACTGTAGTGAGCACCACTGGCCAAAGCGAGCATTCCTGGGGCCCCTCTGCTGCCAGAGTCCTCTCTGTTGCTGTTTCAGGTTCATACCTGAATGAGTGCAGAGGTTTTTCCTCTGAGCTAGAGAGACTTGTACTTGAAAGCTCCCGGTGGCTATTCCTTAGTGCTCCCTCTGTATTGAAAGATCAGTTAGCTTCTTGATTTGTAGCTAACACAGCCTGCTTCTTTCTTGGCAGCTGGAGATGGAAGCCAAAAGTGAAACCACGCAGGAAAACTACTGGCTGATTCAGTATCAACGCCTTTTAAATCAGAAGCCCTTGTCCCTGAAGCTGCAGGTAAAGACCAGCAATACCAGAAAACGGGGAGATTTCCCGTCCAAACATCGTGCTTCTCTTATTTTTAAACCGCTGTGTTTGTCATCCTTTAAAGTGGGAGTAGAGTTCTGCTCTTGATTCTTTGCAGCCAAGTTGTCCTATTTGCCAACCTTGTTAGATCTTCCCTGGCAGACTCAGGCAGTAGTTGGATGGGAGGAGCAAAAGTTCCCCATCAGATGCCTTGGTAGTAGTTTTTAGTGTTCACTGCCAGAGGCCAAATGGGTACTAGCTTTGCTCGTATGTGCTAGAGTCCACCTTCCCTTTGGCTTTGAGGTTGTGCCAACTCATGTTTGTTGTCTTTATCATGATAGAGGAATTCTTTCCTTTTCATATTGGAAGTGTTGACCTTCTTTAGGGGTCTAGAATTCTGAAGGGCTGTGTAGTATAGTCTTTTTGAAATGGGATTTTCTCTCGTTTTCAAAATGTGCCCACTCAGCAGAGATTGGGGGTCTTGGTTATGAAATGAAAATTTCCTCCCTTGACTCTCCCATTTTTTTTAGTAGCCACTTTAAAGTAAATGCCCCTTTGTGAACCAACTCAGAGACATCTGCCCACAGGCCTCAAGTGTGACCTGAAAGCAGATGAAGATGTAATAGGGAAAGGTTTAACGAAATAAATAAAAATACAGTACAACATAGATAATGTTAATTTGTGTTTTTCTAAGTCAGCCTGATGCCAGCAGGGGTCTTTTGAGTTTGACACCACCGATCTGACTGACCTTTTTTTTACCTTCCCCCAGGAAGAGGGCTTGGAGCAGCAGCTGGTGACCCTGCTGGTAGAGCTTTCAGCCGAACATTATCTGCCCATCTTTGCTCACCATCGAGTCTCACTCGACATGCTGAGTCACATGAACCCTGGTGACTTGGCCAAGGTAGGGAATGGAGCGCTATGTAATTTGGAGAATGGGGGGTGGCAGAAGGATCATTCTGACCCTGCCCTTTACCACCTTCTTCAAAAATTCTTAACAAGGCTTGTCATCAGACTAGTGTCTTATGGTTGTGCAGGGCGTTTACCTGAATAAGGTGACTATACCTTAAACCAGCCTAGTAGATTACATGCTATCTCCAGAAAATTACAGCTACTAAAATTCTACCAGGACCAAGCAAATCTGCATGAGCTCCCTTTATCATTCACCCAGATCAGGCCTCCTTCTCCCAACTATTTACACATATAACCTCCATATCTCACCAGGAATCTCTAGCGTTCAGTCTTTCTAGGACACAGTCTGATTCTCCACAGGTCCAATTTCATTTAAAAGCCATGTATTGTTTGCACATTGCCACATGAACGGCCGTGTTTCAAAAGCTGTCATGAGGCAGTGGCTAGGTTTAGCCTGCAGGGGTCGCTTTTTAGTGTGTAGGCTTGGCCTTTTTTATCCTCTCCATGCTTTGGGTAAAAACATTGCAGAAAGCCAGAACTGGGAGCCATGGTGTTTTCTGGTGTCAGAGCTTATGAAGGGGCATTCTTCTGCAGTGCTGTGGTGTTCCCTGGGAGGAGCTTTCTAGCTCCCAGGCATATACCCAGCTATCAAATGATAATCTCCAAGATCCCATCGAAATCTGAAATTCTCTGACTGCTTCTGCTTCAGATGGGCATTTCTGAAACTGGTCTGCAGCATGCACTGATCAGGAGAGCCCAAGAGCTGCTGGATATGGCGAAAACACTGCCAGGTACTGACGACCAGGAAATCTGAAAATAAGCATGTTACACTACAATTTCTCAAGAGAAGGCACCTGATATTACAGAGCCTTACTGCTCTTGTTCTTCAGACTCTTGGCTGTTGTTTGGTGAATGAATAACATTTTTACCCCCATTTTACAAAGTGGGAGACTGAGTAAGGTCTGAAACTTTTTTTTTGGTGAGGCATTTGGGGTTAAGTGACTTGCCCAGGGTCACACCACTAGTTAAATGTCAAGTGTCTGAGGCCAGATTTGAATTCAAGTCCTCCTGACTCCAGGACCAGTGCTCTATCTACTGTGCCACCTAGCTGCTGGAACTTCTTTGAAAAGGCTGTGACCAGAATCTAGGTCTTGGGTCCCTTGAACATCACTCCCACACTACACGCTCGTCTTCAACTAAGAACTCACGTCCCTCAGAAAAATGGCTTAGAGCAGAGATCACCAACCTGGGAGTTCTCTCAAAATTGTTAGGATCAAGTGAGATAATAGATATGAAAGCACATTGTGAATTGTTGGGCCCGTTTGACAGTGACCACTCACTCTGTCTCTTCTGGTGCCATGCAGGATTGCTGACGTCTGTTGAAGGTGAGGGCCTGGAGGCCCTGGAACCTGCCTCTGCAGAGGAGTCTCCTGAGGCCGTGACTCCCACAGCTCCCCCAGCACAGGCAGATGTGCAGGCTTCAGAATGCGTCGTGTGTCTAGAGCGGGAGGTAAGGGCTTCCGGATGTGTGCTGGGGTGGGAGCTGGGGGGAGGAGCCCAAGTGCACATGTATCACTCCATTCACTCCCTGTTTATTGGCAATCAGCACTCTCCTAGATTATGCTTGGAGCTTTGTTCTTGTAAGAAATTGTCTTTTTGCCTTGGGGAATCTGGGAATGGCTTTTAGCCTAGGAGGATGCCCATTCTATCCATTTCTCTAACTTTTAGGCCCAGATGATTTTCCTCAACTGTGGTCATGTCTGCTGCTGTCAGTCCTGTTGCCAACCCCTTCGAACCTGCCCACTATGTCGCCAGAACATCGTGCAGTGTCTCCGCATCTACCACAGTGGCTAGGCTGGGGAATAGACTGTTCCTAGACCCTAGAATGGCTCACAATTGTTCCCTGGCTTATACCAGGCTGCTGGTATGAGACTAGGGGCCTTGCTTCTCCTTCCTCTAATCCCCTATCAGAGATAGCATGTGGCCTCTTCCTCACAGCTCCTCTCTCGCCAGCTGGGAGGATGGGCTCTGATTGCCAAGCACTTTTTTTCTTCCTAGGATAAATAATTTGCTAGTTTATACATGCTTCCCTCATCACCAGGCCCATGAAGAGGCTGGGTATATAGGGTGCTTCTAGAAACAGGAGTCAGAGGTTAGTGTAGTTTTGGGAGATGAGATACTATAGAACTCTCATCTCAGAACAGGAGCAGAAAACTTCCTTACAGCTCCCACAAAGACTGAAGGAACAGGACCAGCTTACCTGTTCCCTTGCCTATACTAGCAACACAGGAGTTGAGGGATGTTAGAACACATTTAGATCAGGATTTTGACCTACTGTGCCATCAGAAACTTGGAGTTTACTCCCACTGGCTGTCAATATAGGCTTTTCCTCAGGGTATTAAAAGCCCTGCCTTAGAAGACTCTAGAAAAGAGTCACTGGAGGAAGGGAGGGCTAAAGATTCAGTGAAGGCATGGAGGGCCTCCGTAGGTGAGACTCCTGTTTAGTCTTGCCTGGAGGGAGAAATGACATCCTTTGTATGTCTGGCTGGTCTGCATCTTTGCTTCAAAGGGAAGACCCAGTGAAGGCTTGGAGAATCTGTTGGCAAGATTCCTGGTTGGTCTTAACCAGATGTGGAAATGACACCCTGTTATCTGTATGTCTGACTGTTCAATGTCTCTGCTTCAAGGAGATGCTTTCCTAGGTGTGGACAGTTGAGCTGGGTGCTAAAGTGAACAGACCACCTGTGTGCCGTGGGCCCCTTGGGGAATGGTCGCTATGGGGTGATTGACCCATTCCACAAAGTATAAGGTGCCGTGTTCAGCCCAGAAAGCCCAGCCTGCTCTAGATAGGGCTCCAGGAAGAAGTGAGTCTGCTCTGAGACCCAGCTCTGCGCGTCTCCTGTTTTATCTGGGGTACACCCAGGGGGTGGCTACCTACATTGCAGACTGAGAACGGGCAGCCAGCGGGGGCCATACCTGGGCACACCCAGCAACGTCCATCACTTCCTGTGCGGTCCTTTCTTTCTCCTTAGTAGGTAGAGCCGCTTGTACTGTCCCTCATACTTCAAATCCCTACTGCAGTGCATGAGCACTGAAGGTGAGCTCTTAAGTCTCAAAACAAATAAATCTCCACCTTCCCACCCTCAGTGCCTGAGCCGTCTTTGTGTTGGTGGACCCTGCTATGAGCTAGTGCGTGTCATGCTTATGGGGCAAGGTGAGACTATTTTCCCTGTGGGATAATAGCTAGTAACAAGAATAAACTCAACACAGTATGGAGAGAGAAGAAAATAAGATACAGAGCCAGAAGGGATCCCAGGGATGAAGGAGTTAACTCCCATCTTTAAAATGGTGAACTCTAGGTCCAGAGAGGTGACTTGGCCAAGGTTATTCATTCAGTGGCAGAGCCAGGCCCAACACTCACAAACCGACTCCCGGCCTGGTGTTTTTCATGGTATACCACTGAACCCACAGGAAAGACCGACACCCCGCCTTCCTTGGTCACATTGGAATCCTGAGAGTTGGACTGAACTTCATTCAGCCTAAAAGGAAGAGGGGATGCTGTCATAGGCCGGCCCCTCTCCTGCCTCCGGCCGAGCTGGCTGGAGGCCCACTTGGGAGCCTCCAGACTTGGGGAAGTGGTAGTGGAAGCATTGAGCACAGCCTTTCTGTTCAGGGATGAGGGCCAGGGAGGCAAGGAGCTTTCTGGTTCCACAAGGAAGGGCTGGGTACAAGGCCCTGGGCTTCTGGAAGCTCAGACTCCTAGAATTTGAGGGCTGGAAGGCACCTACTGTGCAGAAATCATGACATCAGCGATGGCCTGAGAAGGCAAGCATGTGCACAACACCCTCTCCCCTCAGTTTCCTCTGCACGGTAATTTACATAAATTACCCCTGATGCTTTCTCTGCATTCTTGGCTTTGGAGGGTTAGGAATGACGCTGGATGGAGAGCCTGGCCAGGCCTGTGGCCAGCAGGGGGCGCCAGGCTCTCAGGATCCGAGGGCCTGGCATCCAGGTGTCTGCTGGCCCCGCCTACAACCGCAGTGCCGGAGGCCGGGCACTTTGCAAGGGTCCACAGGCTGCTCCCAGCATGAAAGGCTGGGAGCCAGGCACTAGAGGTCACCTAGCGTCCTGGGAGGAGGCCAGCCCCCTGCCTCCACAGTAACCCTCCCCAGCAGCTCAGTGTTTGTCCTCACCTGCGTGGCCTGAAAACAGTTACACACAATAACATCAGCAGCGCAAATGGAAAGAACACACACAATTAAAAGCAATGATGGCCTTGAAGGAAGAGATTTGAGAGGATACCCCTAAGCCACCCCCTTCATGGAGGTGGGAGGGCCGCAGGTGTTACACATGCCATGTTTTTGGTATTTTTTCAATGGATAGATCAATCCTGTTGATTTTCCCCTCTTAAAATTTTTTCATTCTTTTTTCCCTCCTCTCTTTAAAAAATACTATTTGTTATATGTGATAGCTCTGGGAGGGGGAGAGGGAAGGAGAGTGAGGATAACTACGATGATGTAAGAAAGAGAAAACATCAATAAAAACTTATTTTTAAAAAATACAAGTAGATGGACTCCTCTTGCCAAGGGACCGGTTTCACCTCTGGTTGATAAACGTTGCTCCCTCAGAAGTGCATAGCTGGTACTCATTTTGCCCCATCCTCTCCCTGAAGCAAGGCTGGGGTTTTTAAGCTCCCCGGGGAGCTGCACAGTCTTCATTCATGCCTTGTTCACCAAAGAGCCCCCTCCCACCTCTACAGTTCCAGGTTCTGTTGTAACCATAGGTGAGATCCAAGACTTTGAACAGTATGTGACCCAGGCCTGACCCTTCCCACAAAGGCAGTTTAGCAATCTGAGCATGCCTCATCCCTCCTCCTCTCCTCTAAAGCAGCAGACAATGGGGCTGGCTTTAAATAAAGCATTTATTAATTAGTACAAGCATAAACATTTTGTATAATATTTTCAATACAATATCTTGAAAGAGGCAGATTGGAAATAACCCAAGGGAAGGCACTTGTAAGGGGGTCCCGAGTGGTTCAGGCTGGACTCCCAGTAAGAAAAAGGAAAAAGTTTACAAGGCATTTTAAAAAACGGAATGTTTGTAGAAGAATCAGGTTAGATTCATAGTGTGCTTAGAAGTATCAGCTGTCCATTTCAGGGAGTTAATTCCAGAACCCTGCATTTCAGCACTCACTAGGCCACATGGCTTTGCACTGCCCTTGAAAGGATCCTCGCTCCTCCCCATGTTCCCAAGACTTTTGCCCAGGATGGAAATGTGAACCAGCCCCTAACTTGCCCCCAGCCTCAGGAAGTTGGTTTGCTCCAACACAGGATGTGATGGGTCTGGGGGAGGGGGTGGAGGGAAGGGAGGGACTAAGGGGGGAGGAGGAGAATTTCCTTCCCTGGCCTGCATCCAAGCCACATCCTGAAGAAGCCAGTCTTTTCCTTGGTTTTCTTCTCCATCAGAAGGGGAATGTGATCAAGTACATTGGTCACTGGTCAGGGGGTGTCTGTGAGTACAGATGGATACTAGCACAGCTCACAAAGGACTCACCATGATCTCACCCTTCCCAAATCCAGAATAACTTTTTAGGAATAAGGGTCCAATAAAAACGGAAGTCAATTGCAGTGCCAAGAGTTAACACATGATGATGTATAAAAAAAGCCAGGCAGGCTTGGGCTGAGCAGATGCGGTGACTAAGATCACCTGGTGAGTGTACTGTGTGTGTGCCAGACCAAAGCTGATACTGAGAACTTCTGAGTCACATGCCTGGGATGCAAATCTCTCCAATGGAGCTTGGGAGGCTCCATCCATAAGCATTTAGCAGGCCCCTGTAGTGGTCAGTGAATCCACAGTTCCCCAAAAGTCAATTTTTATTTATGTAGACGTGTGAGATCTGGGTATTGGGAAGGCATGAAGCATTATTCTCTTAGATTAGCTGGGGTTGAAAAACAGAAGAGATTCCCTTGCCCAAGCAGATTCAACTCTCTGGTCTTTCCTCTCTTTTAAAAAGGCAATTGACCATGGCCAATTATTTTTTAAAAGGCAAGAGACCATGGCCTCTTCCCATAAGAAATGAGAATGTATGAAGGAAGGGAAAGAAATGTAGAGACAATCCCAAAGAACTGATCACATGCAAAACAAAACCCCGAATTCCAAAAATGGGATGGGAATGGTGCTAAGGCTTGGCTTGGTGACCAAGGGAAGTAGGACAAGAGATTCTGCACAATTTCCTCACTACATACAACTCTACCAGTGACACAAAACAGCTCTGTCCTTATGGAATTCCAGATAACACCTGCCTCTACTTTCCTAACCCAGAATGGCTGAAATTCTCCCCATTCCTGATCAGACATTCACCTAAACACAAGTCTTGCCCTTTGCCATGCCTGCAGTAGAGCTACTCCCTGTAGCCAAGGCTGCCTCCTTTCCTGAGGTCCCATGTGGACTTGGGATACTACAGGTCATACACTCTCTGCATATCTTTCTGACTGTATTCCTAGTTCATATCCTTACGTGCCTTCCTGGCTTCATTCTTATGTCACAAAAACAATTCTCCCAGCTCACGCCTCATAGAAACATGCCACCCCCCACCTCTATCCCTGACTAAATCCCTTTCTCTCACCTAACACTTTAATTCTGCCACCTTCAACCTCCCAAGTCACATGTTAAGACCTAACCCACCACTTCACCTACAACCCCAACTTCAAGACAATTGATATTTGTCTTGGGATGAGACCTAGCATCTAAAACACTCCTTCCTTTAGAATTCATGCACTGGACAATCTTTCTCTTTCCCAACACTAGGCCTAAAGTCTCCTGAAACACTGCAATGGATAAATTGTTTCCTTAAGAACCCTTAGAATGGACCAAGGGAATCTCTCTCTCCCACCTCAGACTGAATGCAACAAAACTCTATCCCCCAGAACTAGAAAATGGGGCTACATCCCCATCCATCCTTACCCCCTAACATATACATTTATGCCAGAGTTAGCAGGCCTCTCTCCCTGTCAGATCAACAATTCCTGGCGATACCAGTCCTAACAAGGCAGGGAGTTTTCAGGTAGGGAGCTGGTTCAGATCAAGCAGCTTCTGCCATGGCTATCATCCCACCTTCCTTTGGAAGAAAGGTAACTTGCTGGCTTAGAAGGCCGACGGACACTGAAGACATCACCCATGGCCAGTCCCTCCAGCTGAAAGCAGTTGAGGGCCAGAGGCTTCATGTGCCTGGGGAAAACACTCTTCGATGGAGGAGAGGAGAGGAGAGGAGAGGCTAAGACAGGGTAGCTCAGTGCTCAAGGAAGCTAGATCCTCCTCCATTCTCAGGAACCACTTGGCCTTGAATGGATTGTGGAATACTTTAGCTTCTTTTTCTTGCCCCTCTCCTATTCCTTTGGGGGAAGGGAAGGGAAGAGAAAGGAAGGAAGCTTTTTGTCTGAAAGAATGGGCCAGAAAAGGGCAGCTTCCTAGCTAAGCTGCAATCTTTAATATGGGACCGATAGCATGATGTCAAGGCAGGCACTGAACAAGGCCCAGGGAAAGAGCTGGGGATGGGCACCAGTTTCCTCCTGACTCTCCCTCACACCTTCCTCTGCCCTGAGCCAACAAGGGAAAATCGTGACATTACGTCTGCTGCTGTCGTCAGGTGGTATCTTCTATCTCCCTTCCTCTCAATCTCAAACAGAAAAAGGGACATAGGGGACAGGGAAGGGATTGAGAGGTGAGCCAGGCTTGTATTTAACTTACTGGTCACCTCCTAACCTAACAAAGTGACTGACTGGAGCATGCACTCTCTCACATGTGTGCTTTGACATATAAACATATATGTTCATGTAATGGCAGAGCGAAAGGATGTATCCGTGGGGAGTCCTGAAAGAACTGGGGCTCAGGGGATTGTAAGGTTGGCATCTGCACTGACCAGGGGGCTCTTCAATAGTGTGGGTCCCATTTTCCCCTCTACCCTCCAGCCCCTCCTTACTCCTGAACAAGACATATTGAGCGAACAACCCCCCACCCCTGTCCAGTCTGGCTTGCTTCCACAGTCAATCACATTCCAAAAGATCACCAGTATTAAATGTCCGCTGCTGGGGGGGTGGGTTGGAGATGGGGGCTGTGGGGTAGCTAGGGTGTCACATCGTGCATACAG